AGTTGACAAAATTAATGAGCTGAGCTCCGTGGCGAGCAGGGCAAAGGATCTTCTCGTTAAATTTAACAGCTCAGCCGCTACGCTTTTCTCACCCGACTCAATGGCAAATTTATGCGTGAATTTGGCGCAGATCCATTAAGTGGATCCATAGATTAAGTCAACGTGTTGTCTCGCCCGTTGTTGTTGCTGTTGGCCATTTAAGTGGCCCCTGCGACTGCGCCTGCGCCTGCAACTGCAACTGCAACCTCAACGGCAACGGCAACGGTAGCAATTTGAATTTCATGTTTCTTTCTGTTCGCTGACAGCTTCTTTAAATGGCGCTTAACTTTTGTTTTGACATTTTCACGCTGTTGACATTTCACAGAATGAACATCTTTCGGGCTCTTATTCGTTGTTGTTGCTGTGCATGCAAATTCAATTAACTGTGACATTCATTGAAAGACCAAACAATCAAAATGCCATTCAAAACAGACCACATTAAATACAACAAAAATGTTGACTCATATCACAATGCATTCTGAATATTCTATCTGCTTTTACTACCCATTAAAGACTCTTCAAAATATATAATCCAAGAAAACTAATTTTACATTCTTATTCATTGACTTTTATATTATTTTGGTCTGATTTTATTTATTATATTTTATATAATAATTTTGATATTCATTTACTTTTGTTTATCGTTTAATTTTTATTTTTAATATGATTTTATTCACTTTTTTTTAATTCTTTATTTTTATCAACTAATTTAAGCTTTCGATTGTCATTTTGATTTCAATTTATTTAATATTTTATGTAAACAATTTAATTAGACGGAATTATATTTTGGCTAGGTTAAACTCATTATTGTGATTAGTTATTAACAATTCGTAGCTTGAAAATATTTGTATTTAATATTATTTTTTTTATTGTGGATTGTTTAGGTCGGCTTGGATGTCTGTTCAATTGTTAAGGCAAATGTCTTGGTTTGAGGTTCGGCTCATAACAAGTTATAAATGACCTTTGCCAAGGCTGCTATGATCCACATGCACTTGAAAAGCAGATGCAACAACATTAACATCAATATAACATGCAAAATTCAATTAGTTTGCAACAATTGTGCCAAGCAGTAAAAGTGGCCGCATTTAGCTGCTGTTGTTGCTTCTCTCTTTGTTGTATGTGTTGCATCGACGCCTACGCGACTCAGTTAATTTTTTTTGTTTTGTTTCGGACATGAGACACGCTACTTTGCGTTTTTGGCTGCCAGACGGCGGCGGCAGAAGCGACATTGCTGCACTTTAGTGGCACGCAGCAGAATGTGGCGCACGCATAGATACAGCTAGCTGAGTGTATGAATGAATTGGCAAGTTGCGTGTGTGTTGGTGTGTGATTGTGTGTGTTTGTCGTACGACGAGATTTTTGGCGCCAAATTGAGCATGCAAAAAAGATCAACGCTGCTATGCGTAATTGTGTTGCTTGCAAAATAACTAAAACGAGTTGAGCTCACGTGCCAACACACACACACACACACAGTCACATAGACTGACCCGCCTACACCCCAAAGGATTGCGTGTCATTTGTTTATAAACACATCAACTGAAACAAAAACAACACTTGGCTGACGCCTGATGCCTGATGCCGGCTAACCCAAAGCCCCAGTGCTGTCGACCCTTGACACCCATGCAACAGCAACAACAACAGCAACAGCTGCTGCAGTTGCAGTTGCAGTTGCATCTGCCTGCGCCCAGTTTGAATTTAGTTTAGCCTAAGCTGAAAATGCAGAGCTGCAGTCTAGCTTAACTTAAGGACACTGCGTCCTCTTTTCCGTGGGCGTCGCTTCTCTTTTTTGAATCGAAATCCAAATGGCAGCCCTTGGGGCAATTTCTGGTTGCTGCCGCATTGTAATTTCTTTAAAAGCAATTCATTTCATAATGGGGAAAAGGGCGAAAAAAAGAGAAAGGCGAAAAATACATGAGGGAAATTGCGAGCGCTGACAGAAAGAAAAGCAGCCAAACGAAAATGGCAAAAATAATGCAGGAAAATGGAATGAAATGAGCGAAGCTAAATAAAAATAAAAATGAAGCGGAGGTTGGGGCTAAGAATAGGTTGGGCTGTGCTCGCCACAATTCTTGCTAAGCTTGTGGCCAACACACATACCAAGTCATACCATGCCGCACTGGCTATGCAGTTATCGTCTGTTCGCTAGGATTGTTCGCCATTTTTAGCAGCGACGTTTTATGGTCTATCCCCCACCTAAAGGAAACTTCCCCAAAGAACAAACCCAGCAGACAAAAGCTCTGTTTCTTTAAGTTATTTTCTCTTCTCTTTTATTTTGTATACCCTGCACTTTTTGATAATGGAGCATGCTTTACTATTGCTCGACGATACAAGGTCTCTGCTTCTGTTGCTAAGCTCAAAATGAAGCAATGCAACGTGGAACTTGCAAGGCATTGAAGCTAGGGACGAGCTGGACATTTCGATTTTGGATTTGGAATATCTTAACATTAATTTCCAGAGTAGAATTTTGGTAAAATCAGAACAGATGCAAGCAAGATTGAGAGAGTAACTAGGTGACGGTATCTGCGAGGCGTGCACACCCGACTAGAGCACTCTTACTTGCTTCTCTTGAAGCACGATTGTTTCATTATTTTGTTTTTGGGAAAGTTGTTTATGGAATTCATTTTATTACATGCCTTCCTCGCGGAGCGTCTCTAGCGACGCTCTGCTCGAGGTACTGCCTCAGCCGTTTGTAGCCGCGCAGTCCCGTTGCCTTCTTATAGATAATAAGAAAATTATACATTTTATTCGACAGCCACGTTGCAGGCGAATGCCGCAATGCCCCCAATTAGGAGCAGTCCTTAATTTGCTGTTAAGTTATTTAGTATTGTCTGAATCCCTTATGCTTTTCGCTTTAGCATAATTTGCAGCCTTGACTCGAAGTACGAAAGTCCAACTTCGAAATTCGAAATTGGGGAAGGCTCGAATTCAAATTGCATTCCAATGCGTCTAACGGTTTTATCATCGTCTCTGATCATACTCATACAATATAGACCCATCTATATAATCACCCACTCCTTCGGCGATTTGTCGTTTAGCCTCAGTTTCGTCTTTCTTTATTCGTCATTTTCGGTTCATTCTTTTTTTTTTCGTACCGCCAGACACCAATAATTTTCTAAATTTTGTTTTTTTTTTCGCTTCGCCTACTTCGCAGTCGCCCCAACGTTCTGAGCTCGCATTTAATTAAATTAATTAACGTTTATTTGCCATTTGCGGGACTTTATGGATTTGTATTCTGAATTTTGCATTCCAATGATTCAGAGTATTCTGCTGTCCGCATATGCGGGTCGTCACAAAAGTACTCGACCATCAAAGATCTTGTTCCAAGGAATATCAAAGTTCACTTGGATGTGTTATTCATCATTGAAGAAGCAGAATGGCGCCAAATGAACAACGATGGGAATATTTTGCGAATGCCCTCGTATGCATAGGAAAATATGTCTAGCATCCAAAAACCGACCCAGACTAGGCACTTACGTTTGCTCTCTGAAAGTTGACTTCACAGAAAATCGTATTTGATTCACTTGGCATTTATATTATTTGAGTTATTTCTAGAGCTTTAAGTATGAATGAATGATTCATGATAATTATTCTGCTCATTGTGTGTGTTATCTTTGGCGACAGTGCTGCATACCAGAGCACACACCTAACTGTGGCAACCGGATCGGGCACATTCAGCTGGGGATTGGAGGTCCTTTAACAATTTGAAGTACATGTCGTCCTGGCGTTGACACCGAACGGACATGCCACTGACAATTACGTGGAAAGCAGCTCAAAAAAAGTGCCAAACTGCAGCAGAGGCAAAAAATGTCGAGCAATTAACTTAAATACATTTCAACTTTTTACGTGCAGTCGCCCGACAATGTCCTGTTCTCTAGTCCTGCTGCCACTTGCCAGCGTGCTCAGCTTAACTGAGTCTACTCAGCACTCTGGCTGCGAGTGTGTATCGAAGCAAAAAGTTTGAAAAATTCAAGCCACAGCGCAAAACAATAAAAATGTTCAATGTACTTACGATAAACAAAAAAAAGAAACAAAAATAAAATTAAAAACGACAAATTTTAAAAGAGTCTAACGATAGGCGGAGGGGCGGGAGGGGTTATGTGGGTTGACGTTGGCCCTGAAAGGGGTCGCTCATAAATTACAACAGTAATTATATTTAATAAGCGCAATTAACTTTGTAATAATGTCAATGAAAATGATGAGACAAAATATGATTAAAAACAAAACACAAGCACAAAAGCAACGTCAAAATAACAAGGGACAAAGCAAAATGAAAAAAGAATTCATAGAATGCTTGTAAATCCTCATCAAAATGGCAAATCCCTCGACTTTGGACGCTTACGGAGCAGATAATGCGGACTTTAGCGGGCTGGATGCTCCAGGAGTGCAGTCGGAGTCGAATCGCCAGCTATCATAAAAGACTCGAGCACTTTTTGCACTTATTAGCTTTATTGCGAGCTGGCGCTGGTTCCTGCTCGGTATCATATCACGTTCAGCATTTAGATTTACAACGGCTTTGGCTGCGATTCCCGACCGTTCGCTTTGTGCTTTATGACATTTAATTGGACATTCAGATTTCTTGTGCTCCAATTTGTGGTGGGACTTTATGATTTGATTCGCGGAAAGAGGCCAACAGATTATTATTGTGCATGCCCATTTTCGGGGCTGTTTATGTAATTAACAGATCAAGTGGCCATGCCTAATCGAGTGGCTATCCCTGAACCCTGCTTTACAGCCGCGAGGGTGGTTCGCTGGTGGGCTTACCTTTTACCTTTTGGCTATTATTCTGGGGTAACTGATAACTGCAATTAATGTTTTTGACCTTTTCGTCCGCTTGCTGTTCTTTTTCCGAGTTGACGCCGTCAGCTGCGCTGTGAAGGTTGACTCAACGCTTAAATGCATGAAATTTGTTTTCATTTTCTATTCACTTTCTCTCTCTCTTTTTCTCTCATCTACTCCTGCAGCCTGAAGCCCCCGCCCAAGGATGGCGTCACTAAGAGCAATCCATCAAAACGGCATCGAGAGCGCCTCAATGCCGAGCTGGATCTGCTTGCCTCGCTGCTGCCCTTCGAGCAGAACATACTTAGCAAACTGGATCGACTGAGCATACTAAGGCTGTCCGTTAGTTATTTAAGAACCAAAAGTTATTTTCAAGGTAAGTACGGGGCATAGTTTTGAGCCAACTCCAGGGTGGTTGTTAGGCGACCAGAGTCGGGCAAAGGTTAAAGCTAGCAGCTCGCATCCAGTTAGAAATTCGTTACTCCTAGCCAGACCTCATCCCATATGGCTGACTAGCCGACGTCTTCTTCTTCTGCCATACGGTGCGATACATTTCGGCCTATTAAATCGATTATGCTACCATTGCCAGCGCTGAATGGTGGCAGACCCTGAACATGACTCATAAATGATTCAAAACTAATTTCAACGCCGCAATGGGGCGTCCTCTTTCCCTCTCTCTCTGTCTCTATTTCTATGGCTCTCTAGTCTTGATCCCTGCTCAGGGATACGCACACACACACACACACACACACTGGGTATAAACACACGCACATGGCGAAATTAGTTCTATTGACGGATTAAAGTCGAACTACCAAAGAAACTGAAACAGCAAGGCACATTTCAGTTTCAGCATGTGTTGCTTTCACTGGATTAGTTTCCAAAACATTTAATATGTACAAAATATACACAGTGCTTAGGACTTCTAGCTCGAGATGCCTTTAGCTGTTGTTCCATCTTAGTGGACAGGCTTGTCTTAAGAAAATCCAATCCTGATCCGAGCTCTTATAATATATGTTTCGTATTATTATAAAAATAACTTTTCTGTATCATATTAAATGGGTTATTATATAATATAGAAAGTTAGGAATCTTCTTCTTTCTGCCCATAGTTTTTATCTTTATTTTCTGGCTCTTCTGGCAAATGAATTAAAGGTGAGCCCCGAGCGAATGGGAAATGGAGAAATGGTAAAACTTTTGGGCCTGGTAAATCGAATACGCCGAGTGAGGAAACATATGTGTGAGCACACACACACACACACACATTGAGGGGTGGTTTTTTGTTAAGTCTCGAAAATTTTAGCATAAGTTTTTCGTGTTTTTTTTATTTTTTCGCTTCTAATTTAAATTAATTAAAACAAAGCAATAAAAGGAGAACGAACTTGGTCGCTTTGATGGCTTTATTATTGACTTAGTTCATTGGCATTTCGCATTGCTTAACGACATCAGTTTAATTGCCTTTTGTGACGACTATATATACATATATATCTATATATATATATATATCAGGAAGATGAAGTACCCGCTCTGAGCATTAATTAAATGTGAGTGCAAAAACTGCTGGGAAATACGAGAGAGAAAGTGAGGCACAGCCCAACTAAAGGACAGCCCTTTGTATGCCATTTGTGACTCACGTGCCACGTCCAGCTTTTTGGGCTGGGCTCATCCTGTGGCTGGACACAAGCTCTATGGCAAATACACGAGTAAATATTTTGACAATTAGCGGTCAAAACGCAGTTGGGCGTTAATTGCAATCGCAAACAGTTGCGACGGCCAGTTCAAGTCTGTCAGCCAGGACACGTGCGTCGTTGCAGTGCGCTAAGTCAATACATGATCCTAAGTTTCCTTTCATTAGGGGCCCACAACCACTTGGTTTAAAACAGACACGCGCTGCGTTTCCTTTGCGCATTTGGACCGAGCCAAAAAGGACGACGGCGACGACGACGACGACGGGTTAATGGACCAGAACCGTTGCGCCGTGTGCTCCCGTGAGTGCCCTGTGTCCTGTCTGTATACACATTTATATACATGTCTTTGTGCGTCTAATGTTTGTCCGGAGGTTTGACAAAACGTCGCGGCACAGGTCAAAGTTTGTTTACGTTTTGGCTTTATTTGTTTGTCTAGATGTTTTTCGGATATTATCAGGATCATTTAATTTACAATTACTGGCTATGCAAGGATAGCCCTTCCAGGAGCGGGGGTGTGTCTGTGGGGAGAGTTGCAACGTGTGTGCCACGGCTTGAGGGATTTCTAGAACTTAAGCACTCAATGCAATTAATTGAGGCAGCCAAAAAAGGTTTAGATATAGCTAAAGAAAGAGGGCGAGAGACAGAGCGAGAGAGCGAACGTTTCCTATATAAAGCTCTGTTCTATGCTTATGTGCCAGTATTTATTTATGTGTGTGTATATACACACTTAATGGCCCACTGGAGGGTTGCTCGCCAGACACCAAACGTCCTGCATCTATATAGGGGCAGTTGTTGACCCTGACTTGCGCAAAAGCGAAACAGCGAACAAGTTTTCTCTATACCAAAGGGAAAAATGGAAAAGAAAAAAAATGAATGAAAAGCAAAGTTTGTTTTCATTTTCGCCAGGCTTTCGGAGCAGCTTTCCTATACACCTAAAGACTTTACGGCACCAACAACAACAACAGAAAAGAAGCTAAATAATTAAAGCGCGCTGCTAATGGCCCATTGTCTTGGCCAGGCCCTCAGCCCCCGTCTTTTCCACCCACGCCATAAGTGCTGGCCAGGCGCTGGCGCCTTATGGCCAGCAATAATTGCTAAGACGCGCAATTTGTACATTTTTAATGCACTCGTTACGTCTGTTTGGTCCTGACAAAAGGCGTCTGCCAGCAATTGCTCCTCCTTGCCCTAGCCCCTCCCGCCCTGCTTAATTGATGAGTTGCGTAATTAACTGCAAAATGAACTAAAATGTTCTCATTGATAGTTTTGTTTAACCATGCCAAATGCTGATTGCACGCAATCGAACAAATCCTCTAAATAAACCCGTCCCCAGCCAAGTTGAGCAATTAAATTGGCCAATAACCAAATTGAACGCCAACTCAGACTCTAGAAGCATTTCGGCAAGGGCCAATTGATATCGTGACACTATAAATAATTTCCAGCTATATATCAATGATACAATTTGAAAATCGAATATTCAGATATGAGTCATAAATACATTGGATTAATTATCAAGCAAATAGCTCAGACACTGCTTTAATTTCTTAATTAATTCGGATCGGAGCTCAAACAACAATGGAAATTTGAATAGCCGACAGACAAAGGTTGGCAGTTCGTAATTCGCAGTTGACTTTAGACGCTTTTGGTAATTGGAGCTAGGTAGTGGGAAAGCGCTGATTGCCAACCAGAGTTCCCACACATGATTAAAATATGAAATATATATAAGATATATACATATATCTTTTTCTTAGCTTAGACATGTAAAGCTGACTGAAAGGCTCTTATACTGCGACTGGTTATTGAGATCTAGTTCTCTCTGGGTTTCGGTCTCGTGGGAAGCGAGTTGCAATGGCCGCTGTGTGGCAACTGGGGAGCTCTTGCAAATGCGACATATGAGCTAGAGTTTTGGGTAACCCCAAGCGTTCTGTTTATGTTAACAAGGTCACCTGTCCGGGCTACGAAATTTATGCTCTTGCTTGGGGACGAGCAGCAGGCGAAAAGAAGGCTTAGGTCAGGTAGTTATGCTATTATCAAAATTGCCGTTAAGCGTTTGTTAATGGAGCTCATGGCCATGAGCTATGCGAATCGCACAGCCCAAGGGGCCAAGGCTCAGCTCTTAACCTATAAACATACTAAGCTCCGAGACTCGCCAATTTTTTCGTGCATATACATGACTTTCGTGCGTTGCTCCAGTTTAGGCCCATTAGCAGCAATAGAGGGGATGGATGATGGCTCTGGTAAAATCTATAGCCAGACAATGGCTCGCCGTGGCGCAGGCGGACATGCAATCAGTCAGGCGATGCACTTTAAATACAACTGTCCTACCTCGAGCAAGGTTTATACCTATTGTTGTTGTAGTTCTCGATTGTCACGCCGCTCAGCCGAGTCGAGTTTTGGCAAAGAGTTGAGCTCGAAGGCAACAGAATGCGGCAGACAGCGTTGCGTGACTTACGTAGGTCGAATTTCGATTCCCTCTCTCTCTCTCACACTCTCTCTCTCCCTGTATCTCTTTATATTCTTAAGCTATAGTTTGCCCTTTCGCATGCAACAACAACAGGTACATTATCTAAAGGCCCAGTTTAATTTAAAGCGCCTCAACAAGCGTTTAAGAGCTGTGAAATTCCTAAATCGCATTACTAATTCCAAAATAAATATGAGCTAAAATAAATATGAGTTATGTAAGAAATGGTAATATAATTTATATAATAATAATAATATAATTTCATGAGTGTAGAGACAATATAAATTTTAATATTGTTGTATTTATGGAGAGAGAGAAAAAGAGGATCAAGATACACTATAAAGCCAGGACTTTTCGAAGAGTTTCTAAGCAGCAGTATCTCACAAAGTAAACTCTAGTGGGTTTGCAATGTTTGTCTCTATCCTTACGAGCTGCTTCCCGCTTGTCAGCCAGTGCCCAGCATTTTGGTGCCTGTCAGTTTTTCAATCAGTTGAGCTGATGAGTTTGACATTTCCATGACATATTTGCTTGTGAGCACGAAAAATATTTGCCAAAATGTCAGAATTTAAACTTTATTCTGTGCTTGCGCCATGCCGTGCCAAGGGACACGCCCCCATCACAGCCCCCAAGCGAACGACCGTCAGGCGCATAATTGGCGCCATTTTGCAGCAGTCGTCGCAGCTAGCATCGCTGTCAAGTCGTGGCGTCGCTGCCGACGTCGCTGTCTTTGTATCTCTGTGCAGCAGTCGTCGCCATTTTGCAGCAGCAGTTGCACGCGGTCTTACAGTGGAGCAATTGCCCATTTTCGTTGCAACAATCATACTTCCTGAATGAACACTTCAACTTAGAGGTAAGCCAGGAGTCTTAAAGGACTATTTTAAGCCGTTTAGTGCCCCTTTAGATTATAAATTTATAGGACTCTAAGTTCATAGAGTATGCAGTTCTACTGTATATTTGAGCTTTGAAGAATGGCCTCTCGCATTCATTCACTTTACAACACTTTCCACCCCACTGTGCAACGCCGCTGCTATGTATCTTTCGGGTCGTCTGCGCGCACACTTTTCCGATGTAGCGACGTCGGTTTTCCGACCTTTTTTGCCCGGTTAACATGGTGCTGGGTGGGGTTTTTGGCTTAGCCGTCGCCATTATGTAGCCCGGGACCCCGCCCAAAATTTGTCCCGCCCCTTAGTCCGCTGAGATTTTGCGTTTTCCGCATTTCCAAGATTTACGTTCATCCACCAAATCGACGACGAGAGATTGGACATGGCGCGAGGTTGGTGGTGGGTTATAGCTTAAGTTGCAGCTAAGCCCTGCAGCGAGGGTCAGTCCATCACTTTTCAAATGGCTTAGAGCATATAAATAAAATAGCTAAGCAGCTAAAAAGCCAGGCACAAGAAACAAATAGTGAACGCGCCCAGAAATAGAGCCAGATTTGCTGGCAGTCGCCCCACCCCCTGCCCCTAGTCACTAGCTAAAGTTGAGCCTAATTAAATGTGTTTATGCACGTGAATAATTTAACCAAAGCAATAAAAAAAAGCAAAAAAATATGGTAAAATAAAAAATATAACTGTAATAATAAGAAGTACAACAAGTCGCAATGTAAACTGAACCTAATTAAATTATGAATAATTACCACAAAATGTTGCTCTAAAAGGCTTTCGCAGCCATCGCACGCACATGATGCAATTTGTTTGGCCCGCATTACGTGAAACCCAACGTTTTTGGGCATGGAGTGGGAGTGGGAGTGGGGGAGGCGGTGGTGGTGGCCCTCGGACAGCCAACAGAGGGCCAACTATTTGTTTTATCGCACTTTCGCTAAAATGAACACTCTAACACACACAAGGCCTGCGGCACTTTTGTTAATTTGATAAAAAGCTAAAGCAGCGCACAGATTAGCCTGAAGAGAGCCGAGCCGAGCCAGGGAATGACCAAGCCTCAGTACACTGAGAAAAACTAAGTAGCTTGTAAGCAGATATAATATAATATATTATATATAAATACATTTAAATATTTGAAAAGCAACGCACTTGATTGAGCTTAAGAACTTCATTTTAAAGTTTGATCTCAGGAAAATTAGATAAATTATAATATATAAAAAAGTCTTTTATTGCAAGCTGCTGATGTTATATCGCTCAGTGAGTGTTAGCATTAGGGGTAGGCCGCAGCCTTTGGAGCTGCTAATTGAAATGAGAGACCCTGGAACTAACTGTAGCTGGCCTGCGGTTGCTGTAGTCCTTGCTCTGGTCCTTGTCATGGTCCTTGCTGTTGTTGTTGCCTCTAGGCCAGGGGTTGCTCGGACGTTGGTCTTGCAGTTAGTCGTGGTGTAAATTAGGTTTTAGGTTTTATTTATTCTTCACATTTTTTTCTTTTGGTTTTATTTTTTGTTTTTATTTCACTCTCATTTTTATTATTTCCATTTGCGCTGATAAAAATCATAATTTATGACATCAGCTGCCGTGGCATATTTTATTTCAACTCGCATATAAATTTGCTTATAAAATTTCTCCCGAAAACCAGAGACAGAACCCACTGAAAATATATTAGCTCTAGTTTTGGTCGTTCTCCGCCATTTTGTTTTTGGTTTTTGGGTTTTTTTTTTTTGGATTTTCGTTTATCGCGCATAAATCAATTTTTGTGACAAATTTATTATAAAACTTTAGACGCAGAGGAAAATATGTAACGGGAAAGTCCCCAACTCCCAAAATGGCGACTGCCTAAGGGTGTTTGTCTGCGGGTGTGTGTGTATGAGTGTATGTGTGGGGTGTAGAGCTATAGTATGGGAACGAAAGCTGGTGCCAGGCGCTGGCTAAGTCCTCGGCAGGGGATAGAGAGCGGGGAGCGGGAGGGGAGTCTCATAAAATATTACAATGACACCATAAACAATTTTTAGTACTTTTCCATGCCAGCTGTAAATATTTATTGTATATTATGGTCTACTATATAGTGAGTGTATACATAACTATATTGGATTTTTATGAAGTAACTATGGTATCCAATTGGGGTCTGTGTAAAACGTTTTCGAGCGAGCTTATTTATGGCGCATAGGACTAAAATATTAATGGTTAATAAAATATAAAAATTTCGAGCTCATAAATATTTAAGCTGTGCTCCGCGGCTGTCTCTCTCTTTCTAACACTTGCTCTGGCTTTCTCGCTTTCTCTTTGCAGTTGTTATGCATAAGGATAAGGAGGAGAATGGTGTCCTGCCGCACATACATGCTCACGATGGCTACAGAACCCGCGAGCTGGGCGCCTTCGAGCATGGCCTGCTGGATGGTGATATGTTCCTGCAGGTGAGTCGCAACTCCCCCAACCGAGCTTACCTGAATCGGACATCCCTCGCCGCTTTGCTTAATTTGTCTTCATCAATTTGTTTGACCATTTGATGGCTTCATCGCCAGGATATGCCGCATAATCAATCAGCGCTTGTTTGGCTCCGGGAAAGGGACGGCAGCGCATGCATAGTATACATAGCATATAGAGATGTATATATACATCTACCATATATATGCTATTGATAAATGATTTCTCGTGACACGCAAAGCTTAGCAATGCTTCAATTTGTAAATTTACTTCGATTCTGCTTCTATTTTGTTGAGAGTTAAATGTTGAAAATTGCTTAACAATTGAATGCAATTAGTTAAAGTCTCGTTGCTGTTGTTGTTGTTGTTGTAGATTGTGGCTGCATTCAATTGATTAATGTGTAATTGGCGCTTAGACATGTGTTACCATAATATTTATAATTAATTTTGGGCCAGTTGCATTTCAAGTTTATGTGCCACGCGCTGAATTGGTCAAACTTCAATTAAATTGTCTCACACACACACAGACACAAGCATGTTGCAAGTTGCATGTTTTTGCTGAATTAAAGCGCTTTTGTGGGCCGCTGTTGCCGCTTGTGGCCAGGCGCGAACATATGCACTTGTCACACTCATGACAGTTTAATTTAATGCACACATAGCTCAGCCGGTCAAAGCTAGGCCAAGGGTGAAGCGACAACAGAGGCACAGCCAGAGGCAGAGCTGGCAGACAGTAGCCAAACAGCGGAGTCGGAGGCACGCAATTGTGCAACATGCGCTTTATGCAAGTTTCTTGTTGCTTTTCTATTTGGTTTTCATTCTGTATTTCTTCTTTTTTTTGAGTTTTGTTTTCGGTCGCACTGCACAATTCAATGTCAAAGTCTACAAGCCGGCAAAGTTCAGCCAGGTCTACTCCTTGATGGCAGAGCTGCTGACACATTTGATGCGTTTCGCATGAGCAAAAAAAAAATTGCAAAAAATTTAAAAAAAGGTTTTCAACTTCTTTAGTTAATATTCTAGGAGACTAGCAACTTGAAATATAAATGCCTCTGCGTACGCTCGTCTGATGAAGGCTTCAGCCTGTTGGGCTCTCCGAGTGGAGGAGTGCGAAATGGATATGAGCAATAGATAAGACTCTTTCAGAAATACAATCATCTAGCTCCCAAGATAAACCTCTGCTAGGCTCTTTTATACATAGAGCCACAGAGCATATGGTTCGACTCCTCATAAATGTCGCTTGGAGGGGCATTCAGCAGTCAGCGCGACACTCGGACGCTTAACATGTACAAACTTTGATGACCAGCTCAAGCTTATGCAAAGCATGACAAGAAAGCAAAACAAAAAGTGCATATTGCACTTGCACTTGCACTTGCCGTGTGCCACTTGCCACATGTCGTGCATGGCGCAACGCAGCTGCAGTACGTATACGCAGAGTGTGCATCAGGACACGAGGGCGGGTCCTCGGACGAGTCGTGTGTCTCCTTGCAATTTGAATGCAAGCCAAAAACTTGTTGTTTTCAGTGTGTTTGCTGCCCTTCCGGCCCTTCCGTACGGGCAAAGTTCAGCTAATTGCCGAGCTGCACAATTGTGCATTTCCGTGCATATTTTTGAGCAGCGCAGAGAAGGGACCTGGGTGGTTGGCTTTTGGGAGGGAAGCGGCTGTTGCATATTTAGTTTTAATAGCTCAGGTATTTGTTACCTGTTGCCCGTTTCAATTGCTCATGAAGTTTTCTTTTGTTGTTGTTGTTGCTGTTGTTGTTTATTATGGGTCACATATTATCATTAGAAAATGGCGTTTTGTCACGCAGCGTAGCTCATGCACATGCAGCCATCTCTCTTGCACTCACTCGGCTATTACTGCTGCTGCTGTTATTGTTGTAGTTGTTATTGTTATTGTTGCTCCACATTTGCAGCAGTTTTGGAGCAACTGTTGACACACTTTTGCAGGCGGCTTCGAAAGCGGTTTAATTAATTAAAACTTGACTAAATAAAGACATTGATTTTAAAGCAGCATTGCAGCAACAAGCTACAACTGAGAAAGAGACAAAAGTTTGCATAGTGAGAGAGTGAGAGAGACAGAGAGACGGCGCGACTGAGAGGCTGCCCACCTGGCGTATGCGCAATAGAATTGCTGCTGGCAAAAGCTAGCTGTAATTTGAGCAGCTTCCTTCGCATTTTATTAAGCAATTATCTGCCAGAGGTCCAAGTCAGCCCATCTAGTCAAGAGACAAGTTGGCCAAGGGGTCAGTTGGCAGGTCTTGGCCGAGGAAATGGTAAAATAATCGCTGCCAACTTATCAAAACACAAAACAGTAATGCAAGCCGACAATCAAATGAAAGGCTAGATACAAAATGTATATTAAGTATGAGATATATACAAATATAACCATATATATACATACTTATATGACTGCCACGTTGTTGCTGTGCCGCACAAGACGGGCGTGTATTATTAAAATCGCATTAGAAGACGCCGCTGCCTCAAAGCACATCAACTGCCACGGACAGCGCGGACAGTTGGCTCGTATAAACTGATGCACAGCCACAGATTTCAGGGGAAGCCAACAGCACAGAAAGAGCAAAGGCATCAGCAGCAGCAGAGAAGGAGAGAGACAGCAGGAAAGATATATACTCGAAAGAGAGAGGCAGCTAAAACAATTAAGCTGCATAAAAGAAATCTTGCTTGAGTCTAAATAAATGCAGAAAAGTATTGCTATTTAGTCGAATTTAATATACTCTTTAATATATATGGTTGCTTGAAAGCAGCTCAAGAAGAGCAAGAGCTAAGATAGAGAGCATATACCTTTAAGAGAGAGACAGAGAGAGACAGAGAGGGAGAGACGGCAGATTATAAGATATAAGATTTTAAGACTGTTAAAGCGCAAATCTCGCTTTAGCGAAATAGTCGAATATGATATACCCTACTAAGGATATACCCTACTAGAGACTCCAATACTTTTATACAATAATCAATATATATCAACTTCAACTCGTTGAGGCTAAAGTGTAGCAGAACAGCATCAGCTAATCAACTGCATATAGCTAATTGCTGTCCCTTTCTCTCTGCCTCTCTCTTTCGCGCTCTACATTACTCTATTGCTATCCTTGTTTGGCTCACTGCAGCTACCGTTGGCAATCTTTGGGAAGATTATTGATGTGCTGCCGCCGCTGGCTTGATGACAATCGACACATGCACAACGAGGCAGGACGAAGCACAAGTTCAGATTTGTAGGTTCCTTCCATCCACAGCCATGCCCATATCCATATCCATATCCATATCCATATCCATATCCTTTGGCGGGCTGTGTTGATGCGTTTTAAATTATGACGCCACTTAGTGCTTATGTCGGCTAATACCAGCTCTGGATACACAGCAAGCGTCTGTTTCATATTGTTTCTGCTCTGCTCTGTAATTAGCAGCAATCGCGCGCATTTGTCTCAGCCAACTGCGAGGATGAGGCTGCCACTGCTGCTGCTGTTGTCGCTCCTTATGCTTGCCTCTGTTGCAAATTGATATTTAAATACGCTCATATTAATTACAGTTGCAGTTTCGGTTTGTCTTTCTCTTTATTAATTAACACCGAGCCGTCCCCTCGACGCTAATAAGAGCTTAAGCAAATTTGTCTTCCGAAGCACACACGTTTCACACGTTGCGCACGTTTCGCACGTTGCAGCAAGCCTCTAAATAATAATAATATAAAAACGATATTCTTAATTTATATATTTTATATTTTATTTTTAATATGAAGTCAACGCACTCCACTGTGCAATGCCAGTTTAGGCATGTCTCATGTTCTAAGAGTTGCATGAGCAGCGCCCATTAGCAGCTTATAAAATGTTGTATAAAACAATAAACCACTTCCAAGTAAAAATGTTATCGGAGTCGTTGTCATTTTTGCATTCTCATATTTGGTGTCTTCACACCTAGTGCCAAGAGCTAGCTGCGCTGCTGCTCGGCGGACAATCTATTGATAATTACAATGCTCCATTGCCCGATGTGAAACCTGCAATTAAGCCAGAACAACAGCAACCGAGGAAGCACTGTACGTGGGCCGAGCGGCGTGGCTGGCATACATGAGAAAATGGGCTATACTTAAATAATTTTGTGAGGTAAAACAAATGCTTGTAGCAAACGTCGGCGTCAGAGTCTGCATTTAGTTGAAACTCATTGATTTAATTGCGCATCATTTCCTGGTTGTGTTTGATGTGGAACTTCTGAATCCCCTTTCCCGTCTCTGCAGCTGTCTTTGTCTCTGGCTCTGGCTCTGGCTCCAATGAAATGAGCCCGCTTAAGCGCTGATTACGCTTTAGCCTCAAGTTAACGCCGCTCTTTTTAACCCTCGATCTGCTCTCCCTCTCCCACTCTGTAGCCTGCCTGCTTGTGCCTCTGTGGTTCATTCACAGTTTTTTCGGGTCTGCATCTAGACCGCGAAATGATGGATTAATCCATTCAAAAAACCGGCAGCTACTACAATTACGAGCTGTTTCAGCCCCTTGCCGGTGTCTGTAAGCCCTCCTCCTTGCTCCCTCTCTAGCGCTTCCTCTCTCTCTCTCTCTCTCATTCTCTATCGATTTTCTGAATGTTATCTTTAACTTGTCAATTTGACAGTCTTGTACTCCCAGCCTTTCCCTCAAGCAACATTTAATTAGTAGTTTTGATTTAATTTCTGTGTTGCTCCCTCATTCAGCGTCCATCTTTAGCGCTCTCTCTCTCTCTCCGTCTCTCTCTCTCTCTCCTCTCTTGCAAACAAATTTGACTTTTTCTTTATCTATTGTTACTTTTTTTTTGTTCTTTCAGGCTCTAAATGGATTTCTAATGATACTGACATGCGAAGGCGAGGTTTTCTTTGCCACGCACAGCATCGAGAGCTATTTGGGTTTTCATCAGGTAAGTGGACAAGAGCAAAAACGCCCTCTGGGGTGGCTGAGGCACCTAATCTTTTTTGATTGATTTTAATTGCCTGCAGCCAGCCAAGAGTTTCTTTCATTGATACCAATTGCTACTGCTGCTTCTTCTTTTTTTTGGGTCAAGCTCATTGCGTAGATTGGTCACTGTGCTCAGCTCAGCCGACTTAGTCTATTGCATGAAGCTCTGACCAATAGTTAAAGGCAACATCAATAATTATAAAATCAATCGAAACTCGTTAGATTCGCCCAGACAGATTCGAATACTGAAACGAGTTAAAATACATATATTTTATGATCCTCGAAAAGACTTCAAGTTAAACTTTAGCAAATACTCTTACACGATGGCAGACCTAGTGGCTTCTGGAACAGAATTAATATGAAAGCTTTAAAATATTTAAATATATTCCAAGTTCCACACTCACTTCAGAAATCAATCTTAAGAATTCGCTTGATACAACAATCGATCGCTTATGCTTTAAACTAAAGCGGAAAGAATTGAAATTGGATAGTTCGAAGGTCAGATATATTTATTAACTCCATCTTTTAGAATACAAACTGCAACTATTTTGCTTAGCTTAATAGACGTAGAGGCAGACGGAGTTGGCCAAGTAGGCTCGTCTGTTCATCATCAGTATAACTGATATATACAATGTGGGGCCTTCCTCTGACTGTCGCACACTGTTGCACAGAACTTGTATACCCAGTCAACGCATCAGCGATGGATGAGGGTATAATTTTGAAGGTGCCACACAGCAGATGCCACCGATAGCCGGGCGCGGCGGCACGGCGGCACGGCGTGTTGCGTGGCAGGTTCTGTGGCCATAAATAAAAATCAGATCAGCGTGAGGATTGCGCAATCGCAAATGCCACAAGATTTGCTTACGCAGCTGTCAAAGGCAGCGGGCGAGGGGACCCTTCGCACAGGGCGTGGCGCTCTGTTGTGCATTGGTATTATTAACTTGCGACGCCTTTGCAGCTGTGCGACCAACTGCCCCCAAACTGGGCAACATGTTTTGGGCCTAACTTGAGAATCCAGTGGCTACCGCTGCCTGCTCCTGCCTGTGCTCCTGCGCCTGCGTCTGCCTCACCGCAACGCCCCTTTGTATCATTTTTTGTTTGCCTACTTTATTGTATTGGCGCTTGTCGAATGGAAATTGAAAATTTCAGTTAGCTTTCTTTGGGCCTATATAGATCCTACCTACCTCACCTCACCTCACCTCACCTCGCCTCGCCTCGCCTCGCCTCGCCTTTCCTTCGCCTGCGCATTTTAATTTAGTTGTAAATGTGTAAAGCGGCATTTGACACGCCCCGTTTGGCAGCTCAATTAAAAAACGTAGCTGCCTATTACCATGGCCATTGGCCATCGGATTGCTTATTCTTGTTCTTATTCGAGCATATTCAAGTGTATTCCAATTGAGATTGCGGTCAAATCATTTGCTTTGTTGGTTTTACTTGCGTACAAATGTAGAAAGTTTTGTGAGGCGCTGCCTCTCAGCTCCTCCAGCTCCTCCAGTTCCTTACTGACATGTGGGCCATGTGCTAGAGGTGGGTGCGTGCTTATCGTGTTTTCTTTTAATTAAATGCCATAAGTGCCTATTACAATTACAGCTGTGCTGAGCGACGCAAGCCTCATAAGTATGAATCTGGCCATCACCTTGAAGGTGAATCAATAAGTCTTATTCAGAGCAGGAGTCACCCCGAACTTTATTTAATAAATGCTTTAACCTAGCCTGCAGTTGAGTCACCACAAGCCAACAGGACTCAACTCCCGCTCGTGCTTATATTTGATGCAAGTACTCACGACACTTCACGCGATCTATGAATATTGCAGAAGAGTGACCATCACTTGGTCCTTGGCTCGTGCTCGTGTTTGTGTTTTGTCGTGCCGATATCAAATGTAGGTGCTCACGCAGCGCTGCACTGAGCAGTGCCGTCTTCCGATCTTGTTCCCGGCGCGTGCAGAATTTATGTCTCAATTTGTGGCCAACATGGGGCGCATTTTCAATTTGCGCGCATTTTGATTTATACGCCCAAAAAAAGCAAATCAAACCAAGGCAAAGGCCCGAAATTGAACGCGAAAGCGAAAATCAATAACAAAGTTGACTGAACCCAAGCAAGGAGAAGGCCTCAGCCCAGAGCTTAACCAGCCAAGTTTTCCCGTCTTACTTTCAGTCGGACATTGTGCATCAGTCGGTTTACGAGTTAGTCCACTCGGAGGATCGCGAGGAGCTACAGCGCCAGTTGCTGTGGAACAGCTTTCTGCCTGCGGACATGTCCAGCATGCAGCTGTCGGAGACACTGGCGCCGGACAAGGCGCTCTACTTGGAGCGCAGCTTCACTGTGCGCTTCCGCTGTCTTCTGGACAACACATCCGGCTTCCTGCGCTTAGACATACGCGGCCGCATTAAGATACTGCACGGCCAGAATCGGAAGACGGAGGAACCGCCACTGGCATTGTTCGCCTACTGCACACCCTTTGGACCGCCCAGCTTGCTGGAGATACCGCACAAGGAAAACATGTTCAAGTCCAAGCACAAGCTGGACTTTTCGCTTGTGTCCATGGACCAACGCGGCAAGCACATCCTGGGCTATGCGGATGCCGAGCTGGTGAACATGGGTGGCTACGATCTAGTCCACTACGATGACTTGGCCTACGTGGCTAGCGCGCACCAAGAGCGTAAGTAGAGTCAGCGAAACCTCATTGCCAATCCTAATTCCCACCTTCTCTTGTTGCGCTTGCAGTGCTGAAGACCGGAGCCTCGGGCATGATCGCCTACCGCTACCAAAAGAAGGACGGCGAGTGGCAGTGGTTGCAGACCAGCTCACGTCTGGTGTACAAGAACTCCAAGCCGGACTTTGTGATCTGCACGCATCGCCAGCTAATGGACGAGGAGGGCCATGATCTGCTTGGCAAGCGCACCATGGACTTCAAAGTTAGCTATCTGGACACCGGCCTGGCGTCGACATATTTCTCTGAGGCGGATCAGCTGGTGGTGCCGCCTACCAGCGCCAGTGTCTCGCCCACGGCGCATGCGCTGCCGCCGCCGGTCACGCCCACCCGGCCCAATCGTCGCTATAAGACGCAGTTGCGCGACTTCCTGTCCACGTGCCGCAGCCAACGCAAACTTCAGCAGCAGCAGCACCAGCAGCAGCAGCTGCAGGCACAGCAATCGTCGCCCTTAGCTCAGGTGGGCTCACCAGCTCCGGCGGTTGTTGAATACCTGCCCGATCCAGCGGCTGCCGTTGCAGCTGCCTACTCCAATCTGAACCCTATGTACACCACATCGCCGTATGCCACCGCTGCGGATAATCTGTACATGGGCAGCTCCATGCCGGCCAATGCCTTCTATCCGGTCAGCGAGAATCTCTTCCATCAGTATCGGCTGCAGGGCGCGGTTGGCGTCGGCGGCTACTACACGGATTATCCGCATACGGGCGCGCCAGCCTCGGCGTATGTTGCCAATGGGTTCCTCTCGTACGACGGCTATGCCATTGCCTCCAAGGCGCAAGATGACAAGTGGCAAGAGACAGGAAAGTACTACAGTGGCTACAGCAGCGGATACGGTAGTCCCACGTCCACGCCACAGGTAAGTCTTTCAAGGCATAACGCCCCGGACGTAAGCGAGCGCTGACTCCTTTGATCCACAGCAAATACCCCTGAAGACGCCCAAGTCCTCGCCGCAGGTCATGGAGGTTATATCCTGCTCCTCGGACGGGCCGTCGCCCGTGGGCGTTACCAATGCCACGCCCAACGGCAGCAGCATCACACCCAAAGTGGAGCTGTCTGCGACAACGGCAACTGCCGTCAGCCAGGATCCCTACGAGCGTCAGACGGTGCTCATGTGGGGCACGGCACAGTCCAGCGGCGTGCCGCTCAACAGCCGCAGTGCCGTCAATGCCGGCGGCTCGCCTCAGCGCACCACGCCCCTAACCAATGGACTAAGCTACGCACACAACAACAACAACAATGAGCATGAGCCCGTTGTGGCAGCCAAGTGGAATGGCAACAAGGCTGAGCTGACGGGCAAATCAACCAGCGACGGCACTCCTGAGAACTATCAGCTGCAGCACGACGACTCCGGACTGTATTCGGCCTCCTCGCATACCACATCGCCCCAGCAGCAGCAGCAGCAGCAACAACAACAGCAGCAGCAGCAGCAGCAGACCCATCCGTCACGTGGCCTCGGATCCAATGTTAGCAACTCGAGCAATTCCGTAGCACACCCAGTCAGCGGCACCGAGCACTCAACGTTGCAGCCCAGCCATGCTCATCCGCATGCACCGCCGCAGCAGCAGCAGCCACACCCACAGCCGCCCAGCTGTGCAGCTAGCCTTCAGCAGCAGCCACAGCAACAGCAACAGCAACAACAACCGCAGCAGCCGCACAGCCTTCACGCTCATCCACATAACCAGCAACAGCAGCACCACCATCATCAGCATCAACCACAACCACACACCCATCCACATCATCAGCATCACAACGAAAGCAATGCAGCCGCTGCTGTGCATCATTTGCATCCGCAGGCAACAGCCGGCACCGCCAATGGCAGCGAGGTATGGTCGCCCGCCAGCTATACGCAGTACTCGCAGTATTTAGCTTACCACCACCATCATCATCACCACCATCCGCACCACCATCACGCAGCGGCTGCGTCCACGCCAGGCGCGGCACATCACCATCTGCACCACCACCACCACCACGGCCAGCACACGGCAAGCCGCTAGCAAAAAAAGACACTAATTCAACTAGAACCGCACCGTAGACGCACCCAACACACACACACACACACACACACACAGATACACACCTAGCGCACCACTGAGTGCTACTGCCAGACTAACTAAACCTAAAACGCTACTCCCCCTACTTAGATCCTAATCAGCACCCAACTGCAACAGCATCAACAGCAGCAGCAGCAGCAGCAGCAGCAGCAGCAGCAGCAACTCGTTGGATATACGCTGCACCACCATTCGCTGGAGTCGCCGCCCCATTGTCGCACGCCACCTACGCTGCCCGCTGTCAGCAGCCTGCTGAGTGGTAGTGCATCAGCTGATGTCTCACCCTATCAGCAACTATCAATTGTCTCCTCCGCCGCCGCAGCAGCAGCAGCAGCTGTGCCTCCGCCGCTCATCATTTGTGCGGAGGAATCGCTGCAGGCGCTCAACAGCAACAGCAGCAGCAACGAGGCGCACATCAGCTCCAACTCAACTAACTCTGCTCGTACCGCACGCAAAGCTGCCAAGCTGCAGCACCAGCAACAACAGCAACAGCAGCAACAGCAGCACCAGCAGCAACAACTTCAGCCAAATTATCAGCAGCATCACGCACAGCATCTACTCTATCCGGCCAATATAACGGCGCACACGGCGCTGGCCTATGCCCCGCCGCCGGCTGGTGCCTATATCGATGGCAGTCCCCTGCTCTCCTTCTCGGAGGTGACCAACACGTTGCTGAATCAGTAGACAGCTGTAATCCCCTAACACACACACACACACACACACATAGACATATATATGTATATATATACATTTAAACCATATTCAACAGTTTTGCCAAAATGTGGACTATGACTATCGTATCTTCCATAATCTCAACACAAAGACACCCACACACACACACACTCACACACATATACGAATATTAAGAGCACAAACAAATAACAAACGAGAGAGCAGTTTATAGATATAAATTTGAAGGGAGCCTTGCTTGAGTGTATTAAAAGGCAGACACTAGTGCGAGCTATTGCTAGGAAAGGAATGTGAACAAGTCAGAAAACATCAGCATCTAATTAACTTCTCTTTTATTTCATATTATAAATATTTAGTTTGATTTAATCTTCAAAGAAATTAAGTTGATCTACATTATTGTCATTGGGAATACAATCATAAATAAACAATTATCAGGCAAATCTTATAAGAAATTATAGGAGTCTTGATCAATTTAAGACATCTTCAGGTTTCATGGCCAATTTTTTAAATTGAGATATAAATCTAGATTTAATGGATTTTTTACTGGCAATTTCGATAAGATGGCAAAAACTAAATGAGGTAGACTTCTGGCAGATCTCACATAAAAATACGATAAATTTGTAGCAAAAGTAGATTTTGATTAGTCTCCAGATTCTAAATTTCTGCTTGGAGGAATAAGTGCGGACAAACATACGAAATTTATCGTGCTCATATCGATTGATCTTTACCTCCACTTTAGGTTGGTTCTTTGCAGATGATTAACATCATTATTCATATCTATGTTTCATCAATTGCTTGTGTTTTCGAATAAGCAAATGCGTATTTCATATATCGTCAAGTGTACTGATTAAATTTGCCACAAAGCAAGGCTCCAAACAAAAGAAAAGAAATCTCAGTGTAATAGTATTATTTAAAATGCAAATATTCCGAATCAATTCTGAAAGGCGTGTCTTTAGTTAATCCTTCGAGCAACACAATATATGATTCTATTTATTTTACTGTGATAATTTATATAAACATATGTACATGTAATATTTAACACAAGGCAGGCAATTTGAACCGTATCCGTAATTCCAACTACTTCCGTAACATGTCGAACGATGTTATTATGGCAACAATAGAATACAGTTAAGACCTGCACAAAGTATGTATAATTCAGCGGCAGTTGTAGTAACAACCAAAGATTTTTATTTGTTATATTAAATACAAATTAATCTAATTCTAGAAAATACACATAAAAACAAAACTCCATTTGAGTTTTCGGATTGTTGCGCCAAATTTTAAGTTTTATGTTTTCAGGCACTATAGTAAAAGAGCATTAGAAGAAGGAAGCAAAGGAAAATAAATCGCAATTAATTGCTTAAGTAGTCCTAAGATTAAACATTAATATTTACATATACATATATATATATATATATATATATATCAAAATACTTACTTTAATAATATTTAATAATTTAAACATTAACTAGACGTAATGACAAGCTAACTAAATGCAAGTTAAGTAATTTTCATGATTCCTATCGTTTAGCATGTAATCCGAAAGCGTGTTGGATATTTTAAATATTTCTTGAACTTCTAGTCGCCCATATAAAACATTTACTATACATACACAAATATATATAAATATATATATATATATATATATATATATATATATATATATATAAATATGTGTATATATATATATATATATTTATAACCCATAAATATAAATATAAACCATTATTCGAAATACTTTAATTGTACATTTCAATTTGATGACCGTCAGTTAAGGCAACAATAATATTTGGTAAACTAAATTGTATTCCAAATTATTTAACTCTAACGAGTTTTAGCAAATATGCGAACATTTTATTTAACAAGAAATATTAGAAACCCAAGATTATGTACACGTAAAATGCATATTCAATCAATCAGAGCGAAATAAATCTAGAAAATATTCAATCGAAAATATAAATGAAATGTTAGTTTTTCAACTCTCAAAGCGGAAAGGTTTTTATTATCATAGATGTGCTATTGAATATTATCAATACTGTGAATCTAGTTTTTTTTAATGAATAGAAAGGTAATGTTATTAAATTAAATTTGGCGCTAATATTTCTTCTTCTCTCCACGACAAATTACTGTTAGGGCTGCATAAAATAGTCGTAATTTGTAACTACTGAATTTCCCAACACTCTCAGCAGTATATATCGTGCCGATCATATTACAAGACTGTATCGATATATCGTGTATTTGGGCACTCACATGTTAAGCAACCATAGCCGGGAATAGCACTTACAGCATTAAACCTCGACAGCAGTAAAACAAACACAAGTGCATTGTCCAACACTGACACAAAAACAGCCCTGAATAACGTCGTGCCAAAGTGAGTATTTTATCGGTATATGTATCGATATATCGCTTAACTTGGCGCTCTCCTTTAAAAGAATTTTTGGAGTTGGCAGTTCTTTTTAAGTACTTGCAGCTTTTTGTTAAGTTTTTGCTTTTTATTTATTTTCTTTTTATCGCGCATAAAATGATTGAGCAGCTGATTTATATGCCTTGAAATTAAGTTTAGCGTGAAATCCAGCCCAGGTGCAGGTTTTTATTCTTTGCTTTCATGGACAATACAACCGCAAAGCCACAAACAGCAGTCTGCTTTATGCTGCAGCTTAATTGGTGACTGCTGCTGCATCAATTGACAAACACAAAATGCATTGATTGACACCTAGCGAATTTACTATTTAATATATTATATAACATAAACAAGTAATCGCCAACGCAACAGATTATAGAAATATGTTGCTTAAAGACGCGTTAATAAAGGTCTCATCAAGCGCTGGGCACCACAATGGCAGCGCACCTAGACTGCAATCATATGTGGGTTAAGTTATTATAGATATTGTTCAGGCTTAAATGCTTGCTATAGTCGTTATTCCAAGTACATAATCTTAACATGTATGTATATATGTACAAGTCTATGTACGTTCAAATCTCGTATTAATATGTATGTGCCGCAGCTGAAAAGCAGCGCAATTAATCATATACTCTAATTTTTATATACAATACATCATTGAAGCCAAAATATTTGTTAGTGGATTCAACATCAGCATTGAGCATTGAACAGATATTTTCTAAATTGATGGCTTCATTGTTCAAGTGGAAGTTGCCGAAGTCGAGTGGAGCCACTTACTTGGGCTAGATACAAATGATGCCTTCTGGGCCTATCTAACAAGCAAAGCAAGTGCTCCTGGCCTCATTGCCAAGTAAGTGTTCAAGGTCAAGTTGAACAGCAAAATAAAAAGAAATCCCCAGCAAGACAAATGCTATTCACAGACTTTTGCCAGCTGAGAACATGTCGCATACATCCCATAAGATCTGCACACACTCAATCAATTAGCATGAATAGCTCGTCCACACTCTTTTCATATAATAATACACTTATCATACACAAAACACACAAAACTATTTAGTATGCTAATAACATACAAGCGCAGGCTTTTATATACCCTAAAATTATTGAATATGCCACTAAAGAGATAATGACTCTATTAAGATGTATGTAACAAGCAGAACGAGCTGTGGCCGATCGTATAATGTATATCGCTATCGCGCCCTGTCATCCGTCATTATTTTGTATAACAATTTAAAAATGCTTAAAAGGCGTAATAATATGTCGCAACTGTGTGAACACTTCCAGCACTGTATAAATATTCAACGTGATAGTAACTAAAATTTAATGTTTTTACCGCCAGTCACTTTATTAACTAGTATATTGTTGGTTAAGGTTAATTGATAGCTCGATTAATCCAATCAGCCTGGCAGTTCCATTTCGATTCAATTCGTTATATAAACTATATTAAGACGAAAATATTTCAATAGCTGACAATATCTTTGCCAATAATCACACATTCAAGGAGAGAACGGATTCGCTAGTTGACAGACTCATAGTCATCCACTAAATAACGAAGCAGTTATTGGAGTAAATATTACATGTGTTCCACACAACATTTATGGAGGGCTGTTAATTGAATGGGAATGGAGATCGATAAGTATTTGTTACTTTAGATTTGTAGCAGAACTAAATTTTGGCATACTTCGCATCATCAAATGCGGAAGAAGGTTAACATTTTTTTCAAAATTGAATTCTTTTAAAACGAAAGTCTTAACAACTTTATAGAAAATATTCTGAAATACTTATTTATATTTATATTATTGTTATATTTATATTATTCTATTTATTCTATATTTCGTGTGTTTTATAGTAACAGTGTATATTAGTTAAGGTGTTTGCAACAGTTGCTTCTGCGAGGTTCAGGAGATCTACTAGCCGGCTAGAGAACTCTATATTTGCGTTACTTCAAGAGGAAGTCTTTTATTATGCAGTATACCTGACAACAAAAGCCATATTTTACTCGAGTGTAGACAAATATTGCATATTTTAAGTTAATTGTATGGCGGGCAGTTCGTGTCTTAAGTCTTTCGTTTGAAACATTTTCTAATGCACAACAATTAACAAAGTGAGCCGATTGTTTTATTTGTTTGTTTATTCATTTGTTTCATTTAACATTGTTCGCTTTCCATTGCCTGACCTTTAACAGTCGTGTTGTACACATTTAGTGCCATCGGCCATAACGTCTAAGTAGGTGTATAGAGCGGCGGCGAGAGTTGAATATATGCTGAACTATATTGTGCTGTGCTCTGCTGTGCTGTGCAGTACCCTCAAGTTGAACTTCACTAAGTGCAATAAATGAATCCAAAGGTGATAATCTTGGCTTATTCAGTGCTCTTCAGATTGCCAGACGCGTCACTTCGGATCGTCACTTAAGGTCAATGTGGGCATGGGGTATGCTGTCTAAGATCATTATTCAGCGGCTTGGCTGCTGCTGCTGCTGCGGCTGCTAGGTGACCTTGAAGCATTGTTGCTTGTTTGACAAATTTGTAGCACCCCAGTTAGAAAAATTGCCACTTAATGTCGGTCGCGATGTGACCGGATGCTCGCCTAAGCCGCTCGCATCGCATCGAACTTGGACTTGAACACAGCGACGTGCAGTTGGCAAAGGCGAAGGTATTTATGTAAATGTAGTATGTAGTTAGCTTCATATTTATATTTGACTTTTGACTTCCCCATTCGTAAGATCTATATATCAAACACAACTTTTACACTCGGACAAATACATGAGAACATCTTTGCACTGTACAAAATAATATTTTCACCATGTTTAATTACTATTTCTTTGAAGAGCATTTTGCTGCGTCGAGAGAATCTAGCCCTTCCCTCTGTCTCTCTATCTCCCGAAATGTGTGCATGTTGTGTGTCTATAATGAAATCAATAAAATTAATTAAAATCATATTTTTAAGCTGTTTAGCTTTCGACTTGCAGCTAGTTTTTTTGTTTTCCACAGTGTACGCTTATGTTACTTTTAACTAGGCGTACGCGTAATAACCTGGCAATTGCGCACACCTCATTACACACGTTATTCGTTAGTCGTTATTCATTATGTGCGCTATTCAATTCCAGCCCATTGTCGCTTGTTGGTGGCGTATACGCGATAATTGACAATCTGCTAACTGATGCCAGCTGTTATCAGTGAAATATGCCAGACGTGAAGCTACAACTTAGGCCACCATCTCTCAGCTACACTATAAATACTTTCATTTTTCATACTCATAGCCAGCTGTGGGCCCGCGGCTTTGTGTCGCTTGAAAAATTTTAATCAACGTGTGAATCTCTGTTTATTATTGTTGCTTCTGTTGTTATTGTTGGGCCGGTTCAATGGGACCTTGCGAAATTCAAAAAACAAGACTTAAGCTATCAACATGAATTATGCCGAATTGCACCAATTTAGCAATTAAACATGTGTATGCTGCCCATTGGGCACGAACGAACCAAGAAGAAGTACAGCAAATGAGCTTAAATAAATGGCAAGCCGTCATTGTGTTCTCTTCCAATACTCTGTAACTTGGGAAACTAGTTTCCGACAGGTAGCAGGCAAGCGAATATCAGAGAGGGAATATAAAACATATCAAATATCACTTCTCAGTCCCGTTCATCAGGCGATATATGGCATGAAGGAGACTCTAACTTAAACTCATTTAAAAATGTTAAATTGTTGCAACGAAATATTGTGGACAAGAATGATTTGTAGGAAACAGCGGATGGGTCTGAAAGGTGAATTGATATGATGCTGAAAGGTTCTGTTCTACAGATCTTAAAACTGAAAACAATTTTACGAACGTTGAAATGTTCGTACAGATTAAGTTAACTTTTAGCAGCTGTCAACGAAAGGCAATACAAATTTTCACATTCAGAATCTAGGGGAAAAGCCCTTCAGAATCATATCATTTGAGTATCGTAGAATCGTAACAACGTCCAGAAGTGTCGTCAGCAAATATCCAACTGCAGTGTATCTACGCGTCGCGCTAAACAACATGAGTGGTTATTTATGTTTTTTGTTACTGTTGTTATAGTGCTGAAGGCCACCTTGAATTGAATCACACGCCTTTGCCACCCCTACCCGCCGTCGCATCAGGCATCAGTCCGAGCAGCGAGAACTTAGAGATGTCGATGACACACCTAGCCGGCATGTTTGGGTATGTGGGCTATGCAGAAAACTGGGGAGCAACATTCTGTTTCAATGAGTATTTTGTAGTTTTAATCGTTTCGTAGCTAGCATACAGAGCTAGAGGCCCCACACCTTCTCTAGGTTTCCATTGAACCCGTTGACATCGCCGCTAATTGCCAAAAGATGCGCTAGCAACAAGTGCAGAGCAAACTCGTGACATGTTAGAAGCTAAATTCGGCATTCAGATTATTGTTCTTTTACTTCCATTATGAAATTGCTAATGAGCAACAAAGCAAACAGCATGTGGCCAAGTGGGAATCGCAACTGAAAATGCCTCATCATTCGTTCGCACACCTAGTCTATGCTTTGCATATACTTTCCAGGCAGCTTCAAAAAACAAATATCATATTACTGTCAGGGGCATACGTAACTGTAATACGTGTGTATACGACCGATTTATGTATTCGTTAATATCTAAGAAAGTTGTCGATCTTGAAATGCTGATTAATATTGTGTATATTTTGTATCCTTGGGCTCGGATCTATCGAATTACATATCAACAAACCTTAACTGATGCTGCCCATAACGAAATCATCTTATGACGGTTGCGATTTCTTGTCCTGAGCAGTGGGTTTTTTGGAGCGTTTGTCAATTGCTCTTCTGCTGCTGGTACTGAGGCTGGTGCTGCTGCTGCTGGTGCTGCCACTACTGTCACTACTGCTGGTCTCCTCACTGCTGCTATTGCTGGTGTTGTTGCTGCTGGTGCTGATGATGATGATACCGATGATAATGGCGATGACGCTGCCGCTGATAACCATAATTTTGATGCTTCTGCTAGTCATTGCTCACCCAATTTCAAAAGATATTAACACGAACAAGAGCACTCACATACGTACGCATATGTACGGCTGAGCAAATGTGTCTTATATCAACTTAAGAGCATGTGGGCATCCAGTTTCAGTAAATCCCTGCAGAGACAATTCAACACATTTCAGCGGCATTCAAAGTACGTTTCGAATTTCTCGGCTAAGCAACAAATTCCGATTTCATTTTCGATTTTTGATTTCTGATTTTGATTGCCACAGCGAAGGTTAAGCTGTACATTCAATTCAAATATGAATTACATTTACATTTGTTTATTGTCTGTAATTGCTAACGAACTGAAGATGCGGCCCTTTGAAAGACGTAACCGTGCCAAAGCCGTGGCGTAGCCAAAGAGTACATGGTATTACAATTACAAATTACGATGGAATATTTCTTTTGTTTTATTAAACAAATATAAATAGCTTCTGAATGATATTTGAGTGCTTTACCTTGCTATGCAACAGTCGGTAGACAGTAGGCAGACGGACAGACAGATAGACAGACAGACAGACAGACAGACTCACTCGTAAAACAAGCACTTGCGTTGCCTTTGACGATCTCATTACATACTTTGATTTCGATACCCCAACACAGATGCTCATGCCCAGTGTCTGCCCATAGTAAAGCGATCGTTAGGTATAGCACCCAATTTATTCGAATTTAATTGAAACTCAGCAATCGTTGAGTACATAAGTAATTTTAATCTGTATTCTGTGCATAGTATTTACTCACAATCTAGATTTGTTGTAGCTGTTTTAGTTCTCACATTTGAAAGAAAAACTTTACATAAAAAGTTTGAAGAAATTTCTTTTATATTTAATATGAATAGCAAAGAGACAAAGTCTGACGCGAGTTGCAATCAGAGCTATGAGGAAGAAAACGGCTGCAACAATAGCTACTCCGAAACCTCCCAACTAAGTGCACAGCCAGAATTAGAAGCTACTGTACGAGAAGAGCCGCCCATACGCGTGCGCGATATGATTAATTTATATAATTTTGCGACGCAAAAGAACCAGGAATTGGCGCATGCCAAGTCCATATATTTCGGTGGCAACCTTAAGAGTGCAACGTCAATGGAGCTCAGAGACTTGGAACTGGCACAGCAACAACAGGCGGAACAGGAGTTCTGTGACGGCATTTGCCTTAAAATTCCAACAATGGATGGTATGGGGCACGCCAGCAGCAATAGCAGGTAGTGATATACACGATTCTAAAGCTCTCGACTACAGCCTATGTCTATCGAGTAGCCGTCTACACAGTAAGAAAACGGGCAACTTTCGTGTGACCACAGCCAATGACCAGACATCACTGCGACAGTCGCTGCAGGCGGATGCCGCCCCCGGCGCGTCCGTTGAGAAATCATATCAGAGCAAGACAACTATTAGGCGCACCGAACAGGGTGGGTATGCATTTGAATATGAAATTTCCCCCATTAACAATGTGCACAACGTTCCAATCGATTTCTAGGCGTTCGCATTATAATTGACATCTTCTTTGACAAGAACGAGAGTGATATTGACATCGTAGGCAGTCGTGTGGAGACGGACATTCCAGAGAGCCGTATTTTGGCCGATTTCCAGCAACACTCGTTGGCCATGCGCTCACAGCAAGTCAAGCAACAACACAATGTTTAACGCGTTTTAATCAATTCCATATATATACATTTTCACTTTGTAGGATAGGACGTCACAAAATTTTTTGTTATGTATACGTATCGTTGTACAGTTTGTTTGTTCGACAACACGCATTTAGTTTATTCAATTGTAGTAGTTTCTATTTATACGAATATCACCTTCTTGTTTTGTGTTTTGTTTTGTTTTGGAAATTTTTGATTGTTTCCCCCTCCCAACGACAGCGCATTCACACAACTTCCTGCCCAGCTGCAGCATCACGACCCAAGCGCAGAAAAAGCCAAATAATAAACGCTGCTGCCGCCATATGAATATATAAACCTAGAAATGCAATGAGGCAACACCAAAGTAAAACAACTAGACAGCGCAGCAAATAGCCCCAGTTGATCCCCACCCTATCCCCCATCTCTCTATCTTTCTCTCTATTGCGGTTCTCAATTTTTTTCCTTAGCTCTTCGCTGCACGACAAAGGGCTTTGAAAGGCGGCAAAACAAGTATATAAACGGCATGAATTCAAAATGGAAATCTCATCTTACAAAAGTCACTGAAAACTGAAAACTGAAAACTGTAAACTGAAAACTGAAATCTGAAATCTGAAGACGGCGACGCCAACGCTCGAGACAAGCAGCTTTGCAACGAGTACTAGATAGTTGCTGCCTTTCGTAATCCCTGCAGCCTAATCTGACTCAGATCTTGCGCCGCAGTTGCTGTTTCGATCGCTCTATTTAGCCAACAACTGTATGATGATCCAGTAAATTAGACAAATAAACATTTGGTAAACGGTAGCATGCATACTCGATGCTAATAGCCCGGATCCCAAGCATTGAAAATGAAAATCAAATTGTAGCTGCAATGTTAACGCTTTGTTGACTGCCCTCTGCCTGAGCTATGTGGGCCCTGACTCTAGCTCTGGCGCTAACTGTGCCTCTGACTCGGACTCCAACTCGATCGGCTACCCACATCGGCTACATTTAGACGATCTTTAAAGCAGCTTCGTTTATTAACGAAGCTTCGTTCATTAACAGTGGTCGGCAGCTGTGTGCTTTACCCAAATAATTTCATAAAAATTTAGTTTACTCTGTTTTATTTTGCATTTAATTTATTTTTTAGAAATTAATACTTTTGATAACAAATTTATTAAAATGACTAAATCAATTCAAATATTACATAACTAATGAAATCCCACCTAAATTTGTGGCTTCAATTTGTAAGCCATTTTGAACAGGTTTGTGCCACTGTGCATTGTGTCGGCGTTGATGACGATCGTTTGGCGCTTCTTTTGTGCTGCGTCTAGCGGGCGGACTCTGCCAGCGGCCTAATGTGAATTTTAAGCCAAGTCGAATGCATTCGCAGCCATCAGTTCTGTACGAGACACTGTGCGGTGCGGTTGACGCAGCGGCTAAAACGACAACGACATCAAACGTTACATAGATGCAAAGTACTGAGATACAAAGATTGAGATAGACGATTGAGACGAAGACGCGCGTCTTTTGAAGTGCAATTTGCAGTTGTGCATTAACCGATAGGCATTAAGTGTTAAGTGGCGTACCGTAATAAATATATAATTTATGCCAGCTGAGTCTTGCGGATGGATGGATCTTTTTAGCGGCAACGATCGAACGTGATTGTATCTCAAGTTGCAAATTTGGCGCGTGTGCTCTTGACTTTGTTTCCACATTCGATCAGTCAGACAGCCACTGACATTTGATCTTTTCAAAAGATCGGCGAACGGGCGACTCGTGTGAACCGCGATGTGTGTTTAGTGCGGTACTCAACTTAGACCACATGGAATACCATCGAAAGCACCACCTACGTGTAGCACAGCAATTTGTTTGTTCACTTTAAGACTCAGGTGAGCCATAAACCAACTCTGATCTCTGATGGGTTCCCGCCCATTGCCAGATGCTCGTAATTCCTTCCACTCAGCTTCTACAATTAGAAAAAAAATGCCACAGTCGTAATCAACCTGTAATGCCAGCTAATTGGAATAATTGTTGTTGTTGTAGCTGTTGTTGCTGTTGCTGATGCTGCTTCTGCTGCTCTTTCTGTGGAAATTGCTGGCAAAAATGTCAAATAGGCTTCGAGTTTGGCTCGTTTCTCTCAAATTTTTTTCATGTTGCGCTGCAAGGCACAAAACTGCAATAAAAAAAGAAACAATAACAAAACCAGCATCACGAGCTGAGGATAAAGTTGCAAATATTTTGTTGCTAGTTGCCGTTTATTGTCAAAAAGGTCAAACCAAAAACAAAAAACTCCCAAAACAGAAATCAACCGGGGAAAAGCAAACTCTGCCAAATTTTTGCATGTTTTGTTGTTGAGCATAAAGTGATCTGTTAATAGCTTGAAGGAATACTTTAAATAACAAAAAAGATTTAAATTGATTTTCAGTGTTGAGAACACAATTACTTATCTCAAATGAATGTTGTTTAATTTGTGTATTCTTGTTGAGATATTTCAAGGATTAGTCCAAATTTATATGTAGAAATAAAGAATAACAAAAATATTTTATTTTAATGGCCACATTGGTTGCTTTTGAAAGTGTTAGGTGCTCAGGATATCAATCAAGGCCCAGACTTGATCACTAAAATACTCAGCGAACATTATCGAGTATTTCAGCATTGACTGGAAGCACTCAAGCAATTTAGTAATCAAATGTAGATTAAGAACAGAAAACTCGAAATGCATCTGTGCGAAGACGATTTACAGACTTGTAGATTGTTTTAAAATGGCTCGATTTATGTGACTTCAAGGAAAGCAAGTAAATAAAATTGAAAATTAAAAACAAAAAACAGCGTAAAATAGTTCAAAGTTCAAATTGACAAATTTGGAAAGCTTGGAAAGCAATCAGATACAGCACGACAAGCAACTTACTCAGAGTGTATATATGTGTGTGTGTGTGTGTGTAACTGAGTGTGTATGTGTAGTCTGAAACTGCAAGGTTGCAAATTGAATTGTAGGTGGAGGTCGAGGCAGAGGCAGAAGCAATGCGTTGCTAATTCTGCCAGCCATAAAATGGCAACAATTTATGCCGCTTGTTGGCATCAACATCAACAACAGCAACAAATACAGCAACTAAACTGCAAATGTTTTTTAAATTACAATTAATTACGAACTTAAAATCGAAAATTGTTTTCACCCTGGCTGCTGCCCTAGCCCCATTGTTGTTCGTTCCAACAAAGCTGAAGCTGAAGCTGAAGAAAGTTTGTTTCGAGCATCTTTAGTAAGCCTTAAGGTAGACACAATTGAAGTTATAATAGTAATGTAAAAGCCAATTAGTGAACACTTTCGAGCACTTGCATTTACAATATTTATTTAACACTTTCAGCCCCAACAAAACGTCCACTAAGCTGGCCCATTGATTAGGCAATTCGAGACAGCAGTAGAAAGGAAAAAGCATAATAAATAACACATAAATCGAGTACAAAGACGCCAAGCCGTTGACGAAAATGCCAGCAAATATGAAAGATTTTCATCTTGAAGCATTCGCAATATGCTGTTTCATCATGCTTATGGCCAGTGAGGTAAGTTTTCGATAATGAGCACATATCAATCACATCATGGCTATATTAAAACTATCATATTTTATCTTCTTTCGTATTTCATCTATTCTTTACTGAATATCATTTTCTTTGCATATCTCAAATATATAGATACTGACATAAGAAGTATCTTAAAGTTCAAAGTATAAATTTGCATATATTTTCATTTTATTTTACTGTTTTTTGGCGTATCTTAAACATGTGAGAATTGTTTTAAAGATATATTATTGATTTATTATTTTATTATATTTTTAGTGATTATCAATATTCTATTTTTGTTTAATCTGTTTTTAATTGCAGTAGTATTGGTGTTAGAAGTATCTTAAAGAAGTTTTTACTAAATCTGTTTCTTATTTAAAGTCAATTTTTAAAATATTTAATTTAATAAAATTGCTTGCGAAGTGTGTTAAAATATATACTATTTATATACATTTATTTGAAGTCTCGAGAATATTGTTTTCTACATTGAGTATACTCAGTCATAAATTGAAAAGAGTATATTCGTTTTGTAAACTGACCTCTTCCCTTTAATAAATAACTATTTTGAAAGCGTTAACATAAATGTTCTGACAAGTAAAATTTTACTGAAAATATATTTTAGTGATCTGAAAATAATTTATTTATTGTCTGTTCTTTATCAATCAATCTTTATGTGTATATCATTAAAGATAGCTAAATTATCTCAGACATATGGAGTTTGAGTTAAGTCTATTCTATCTATCTTCAAAATATGGCTGTACGTTATTGCATGAAATTGAAAACATCTTTAATATATGTTTATATGTATGTATAGATGTATATTTATAAATATATGATATATATATTTATATACTTATTAGCTAGGCAGATTAATTCTGAATCAATTACATGAAGAATTCAAGTTTGCATTATGCACATATCTATTGAATTCTTGAATTTATATATATAAGAAACATATATAAATATAACTATGTATATTTATTTATTGATTTACATTTATATACATTTTTAGAATAATATTTTAAAAATGATTATATAAATATTACATATTTGAATAATATATATATACATACAAATATGTAAATGGCTATACATATCTAGAAATCATCATTAACATTCCTAAGATTTTACTGTACAATGTATAAATTAACAGTCGAGTTATAGCACATTCGCTATTCAAATGGCTCATCAAATATTTTTATAGTATGTCTTAGCTATTGTATTTAGTAATTACCGCATTGGTATCCATTCATTAGTTCGTTTTACTAGCTAGATTTATCAAAAATTGATGTTCATTTGCACAGTTTAATTGATTTCAATTATTTGGAAGATTTTTGAACTTTTTTATTGAAACTAATCTTTTGAAAGATATTAAAATTACATGGTGGCATATTAAAGCCAATCTGAAAAACTATTCTTATTCTTATAGATTTATTCTTATAGATTTATTCTTATAGATTTATTCTTATAGATTTTGGAACGCTATGCATTGTTGTTGAGAATAGGGCTCGTAATACCAATTACCTAGTCAACTAGTAAATATCTGCAGTTAAGCAAGCAAATAGACATCTCGACGATAACTTAATAAAAAATTTGATTTAACATATATCGTGATAACATGTATTCTTTACACTTCCTAGTTATAGATTGAAAAATTGAGATAGCTGTCTATTCAAACGCAGTTCTATTGTAGAGAAATGCAATGTTTTTATATGTTAAGCAAGACAGCAACGACAACAATAAGAATATATTATTTCTTAATCATTTCCATTTAAAGTACAGAATTGAATAATACATCCGATTTGCTCAAATAAAATAATTATTGGAATATTAAATTCACAATTTAAATAGACAAAAAGAGAGTTAATTCTTAAATAACTATAATTAAAATGATTAAGCTTTTACCTGCGGTTCTAGCAACATTTTACTCTTGCAAGCGCAATATTTAAAACAAATTCTAATATAAATTGGATGCTAATCATTTTTGCAAAAATTTACCGCTCTACCAACTGGAAATAGCCTTTGGCTTAGGCTCTGACAGCTATTTCGTCTTGAGCTTCTTCTTATGGTTTTTCGCTTGTGGCGTTGCTTCCCAAGTGCTTTTAAGCAACGGCGGAAAGTGTTGTAATTCTGCGCTCTTTACGCTTTGTTTCATTTTTAATTTATTCTATGGTCTGTCTATGTGAGTACACCTTCTGATATGGGTATTCATTCACACACATGCCACAAAAACAAACGGCAAAGGTCTTCAAGCATATTAAAACAAAGACGTCGCTGGCCAAGTGACCTTTTTACTGACACTTTTGCAGCACAGCAAGAAAAAGAGTAGAAAAAGCAGCAGCGAAAAAATGGAACAAAATACGTAACAAAAATGTTCGTTTTCTGCCTTTTTTTTAGCCATGAAAATAAAGCGAAGATGAAGTTGAAGTTAAAGCTGAGGCTAAACTTACAGTTATGAAATGGTTGTCTTAAGAAACATCTCTCCACAGTATCCACCACTTAAAGCTATTTAAATCAAACTCCGAAAACATCAACAGTAAATGAAATGCATTTATCTATGAAATTAAATACAACTATTCGCAGCGTGTGATCAAATTGCAAATTACATAAATTAGCCCCGAGTCAAGTATTTGGTTAGTTGACTAACCATTTGCTATGCCAAATTGCTAGCCAGCCACATCTTCGAGATCTTCACAGTTTCCGAGTTGAACAATGTCTCGGTGCCCTTATAAGGCGAATGCAAAACAATTTTGTCAGCCCACAGTGTCGCAAATTAATGCTAATCACAGCACCTTATAAGCCAACGGGAAGCCTAATCAAATAACCACCAATGTAAAAGTGTTGAGAACTTTTGCTTGAAAACAATCCAAATGTGGGCTAGTTATGAGAGCGCGACTTCAAGATACCCAGTAAATAACGTAAATATTAAATAAATGCTGTCTCTCTCTCTCTCTCTCTGTTTCTTCCCCTCTCTCTGTCTGTCTCTCTCTCTCTCTCTCTCTCCATCTCTATCTCTATCTCTCATTTTAAATTTAACCTCTACAAAATAATATACCCTACCACTATAAAATAAATGGTATTGAGGCCAACAAATCTAGTTCACACTATAAATGTAGAGCTTAAGTGACGCCTCATAATAAATAATAAGTTGATTGAATTTAACCTGGGCATAAATACACCGAAAGTCAAAATGTCAGCAAATGTCTTTTATCTATTTAATGGAGCCTAAGTTTAGTCACAGTCGTCGAATCAACTGTGACACGTTAACTCAGGAATTTGAAGGGTTCAGCAAAAAGCGAACGTCCAACGAATTTATTCGTACAAAAAAATTGTTGTCCAGCACATACATATTTTATTTTTCTTGTTTTTTCCTTATTTTTTGTTAGGTTTATATAAGATTTTGTAGGGCTGCGCGGCGGGCCTCACGTGGTTTATTATATTGTTTCGAGGCAGCTGGGAAAATAATTTTTCACGGACTTTGCAGACTTGGCTACGGAAGCTTATTCGCATATTCACACGTAGCTGAAGAGGCCCAGTGGCAGATTTCGATAAGTCATTGGGCTATAATTTGCGAGAGACACATGAAGACTTTTTCTATATAATTAAACAAAAAAACACAAAAACTATGAAAAACACAACACACAAAGTTGACATTTCACACAGCAGCAGGTCGCCGCATTGGGCTCATCGACTGTTGCAAGCAGCCGTGGCACCATGTGCCAAGTTATGACATCACTTCAATTCATCAACTGGTGGACCATAGCCCAAAGCTGTGGCATACACATACAAGCCAGCCAGTCAGCCAGCTACAATAGCATATGGTCTTGGTCTTGGCACGAGTACTCAGCCCGACTATGAATAGATCTTGATCAGACAGCAGGGTACTCGCTATCATTTGTTTAGCTTCACTAATAGCTTTTGGCTTGGGAAAGCGCCGCAAGCCGTTTTCATACAGCGACTATGCATCTAAAGATATATTGCAAATCTATATTTATCTCTATATCCATATTTATCTCTGCATACCTTTACCATGATCTTCTGGCTACCATTAAGTCACATACTTTGTCTAAAATTTAGGATCATCCTGCGTTTCCTTATTATTGATAATATTGACTTTTTACTACTTTTACTTCGACTTCTACTTTTACCCTAAAGACTCCACTAACGCATAAACAGATTCATTCTTTCCCTTATTCTTATGTATACAAGAAGCCTTGAATAATCGAAACTGAAGGTCTGAGCAGGGTTCAGTAAATCTTCCGACAGAGCAGTTCTGATTATACTTGATTCGGGCCACACACTGATTCGATCTGGCCCTGGCTGTCTATCCGGGTATATGAACACGTCGATCTCCCTCTATAGCACGCGCAAATCAAGTCTCTTTCAAATAATCGCTAACTATTCTCGTTTCAATGTGATAATCTCAAGTATTTAATTACATCTTGAACAAATTTGGAATTAGATTCTCCCGATTTTGGCCGCAGTTTCATGTATTTTGTATACAGCTTTATTTTTTTTTAAATAAAAAAAACTTTACTGACATTCGTTAAGTACTACAGAAGCCAGTTGTTAAATAAAATGCTTGGTAAATTGGCAGAACCTCGTGGCAAGTGTTCCTAATGGCAACGCACTGTAGATCTTCTGCCCGCAAAAAAAAACGAAAAAATATTACTCCATTTTCCTATTGAATGGAAAAGCCTGTTTTATTTAAGAATCTTCTATATTTTAAAAGCTTAATTAATTTGGATTTGTTAGCGATGTATTGGGTATTCTAAAGGAAGGCAGCGTCTATCAGGCATACCTCATTTTGGCTGCCCGTTTTGAATATTTATACGCGGAACGAGTTTTTTTGTAGCTAAACATTTTATATTTTTTCATTTATTTTATTTTTATACATATATACAAATTATGGGGTATATTTAATTTAATATCAGTCGAGGGTAGGCTACTGTGCGGTTGTGAAGTTAGTTGTAGTTGGTTATGAAGTTAATAATTGACTTATTGAATAAATTAAGATTCGTATTTAGAACAATTTATTTTTAAATTTGAGGTAGAGTTAACAAACAAATTTGGTGTCCTTTGAGGTTCGAAAATCTTTGCAAATCCAATCTTATATTTAAGTATAAGCAGCCATTACAAAATCTAATATTTAAGTATAAGCTAATATAAAATTTAATATTTAATAATAGTAAAACTAATAATGTATAAACTAATAAAAAATCGAATGTAATATTTAATAATTAATAATTACATATAAAATAAATAAAAATATATATATATATATAAAAAAAAAATATATATATATACATATATATATATGTATATATACATATATACATATATATATGTATATTATATATATATACATATATATATGTATATATATATAATAATAAAATATAATAATTACAAAATCTAATATTTAAGTATAAGAACCTATTACATTATTAACATCTATGTTTTTTCCAGTACCAAGCTGCATTGAACGCACAAAAGACATCCTTCTCTTGCACAGGACGACCAGCGGGCTACTATGCAGACGTAGAAACTGGCTGTCAAGTGAGTGTCAATATTAAGTTTACTGTTTTATTTTTGTTATATTGTTATGCTTACCATGCTTAGGTCTATCACATGTGCGATGGCTTGGGCCGACAATTCAGCTATACCTGTCCCAATACAACGCTCTTTCAGCAGCGCATGCTCATCTGCGATCATTGGTACATGGTCAACTGTTCCAAGGCTGAGAGCAACTATGCGGCCAATCTTCTGATAGGTAAGTGTCAGTCTGAGTTTAGTTAGTCTACTCTAAGCTCAGTAAATATTATATTCCCTTCAAAAATGTTCTACAGGTCAGCGAGATAAACCATTTGTGAATGATGAGGAGAATAATTTGCGAACGCCACGTCCCGATCTGCTAGACCGTCCCTATGCACCAGACTATTCTGGCGAATCCTTTAGAAACCAATACAAGGTAAAACACCACAAATTACATAAATGTTTAAGGACACTGACCTGTTTCTGTCTTTTCTAAGCAGCAACTGACGCCAAGTCAAAATCAAATACGTGATGATTCCACAAAGAGCGCCGATAAATTTGAATCACAAATAGCACAAAATAGTCAAACACGCTGGCGGATTCCCCCACCCAGCCGTACTATCCTCCCGCCTGCCTTTGAGCCACAAATAGAGCTAGCCAGCAGCACGTTACCACCCCGACCCAGGGTAAGCAGCAGCAGCAGCAGCACCACCACCACCACCACAACCACTAGCACTCGCAGACCCGCCGCCATTACGCCTCCAGTGCTACACAAGCGTACGGAAGCTTTGTATCAACGTGCTGCGGATGCGGATGCGGATGACCTGGGCACGAGCCACAGCACACGCTACAATACCTCAGCGGACTTTAATTCCGCTGAGCTGGCAACGAATAAAAACTCCACCAAACTTGTCAAGTTCATCAAAGCGCCATCGAAAATCTATGAGCCTCCTTTCGTCTATCCCATTTACAATCAGGACGTTCAAGAGGTGCAGCCGGTCACAGAAGCATTGCGCACTTCGTCAGCTGTGCCTTTTAGCACCGCCTCGACTCAGACGCGTTTTTCAGTGGCAGTCGCCAGACCCAGCACCACTGCGAGACCACTCAGCCGTCCCACCACATACGCCGGACAGCCCTTCTCTCACAGCACGGTTGCCACCACGGCGAGCACGACGACCAATTATCGTCAAGCTGTGGCACATACAGAGCATCGAACACCCACGCCGGCGCAAGCATTTCGCCAGACCGCACCCACTTCCACAGTGGCTCCCAAAATAGGAGGCAAGGGCGAGCTGCCTTTTAATGATCTGCTGCCACCATTTGTGGACTTTGTGCCGCATGACATAGCCACAACTCAGGGACCGCCCATTTACTACGAGTGGAAGGTGCCCGCCAATGGGCTGGTACCGCCCAAACTGGATCCGCCCATAGGCGTTGACGGACGTGAGTACCCGGAGACTAAAGGTGACTACAATGTTAAGGTTAAACTGGAGAGCTTCAACTCGAAGTTGAATGACATTACCAGCCACAATGCTGTGGCAGTAGCTACTGGAGTTGCACCTAAGCGCTTGCCCATATCGCGTTCTATCAAGCCCAATGAACTGCCTCTAGGGGCCACCGAGAAGGCACAGCGACGTGCGGATGTGGTCAGCACCAGCTCCAGTTCCAGCTCCTCATTGACATCGGATATAACACAACTACGCAAACAGCTGCTCATACCGGAATACGCCTTTCCACTGGAGACTATCGGACGCACGGGCTATGCACCCGGCTCAAGTGTGGCCGGTGATCTTTACAACTCGTTTCAGCTGAAGATACCTGAGCGCAGTGCCGTAACTGGCAGCAGCAGCTCATTAGGCAGCAGTTCCACTCAAGACAGATGGTTCGGCGAGAATCCTAAGTGCCCCGAGTGCCATCCATCATTTGTTGTGCCCGGCACCTGCGAGCCCTGTCTGCGTAGATAGTTAACTTACTCTTAAGCTCCATATACCATATACCATATGCCGCACCGACGCACCTTCCTAGTATTAGATGACATAATATTCATAACCGCCCAAGAAAATCCGCCTTCGCATCTTTTCATGCATTTAAATGTTAATTTTATTGTATACACTCACAGTAAAAATAATGCGCATTAAATAAGTGAGTAAAAACTACGTATATTCAAACATGAACCACGGTTCACAATTGCTACGTTCCAGGTGGTAAGTAGTATTTGATAATTCAGTGTTATAGCGATGCAACAGTTATGCTTGCCTAAAACGGCAGACTAACCACATAGGTAACTTGATAAATTCAACAGAGATGGGCGCCGAGAAGCCTAAGAGTAATTTGTAATTTGCTGATGTAAAAGTCTTATCAATAGGCCTATATAAAATATATATGTATATAATTATTTGTGATGATATTGCCTGATATCGGTGCACAGTGACATGGTTCCGTCTGCAGTTGTTTTTTTCCTATGCAACTATTTAAGATTATCTACAATTTGACATTCAACAAGACTCAACTCACAGTCTCTCTGACTATGACTTGGTACCTTCAACAATAAAATTCAATAATGCAGTTTAAATAATTTGAATAACCTTTGAACAGTGTCATTCGGTGCTTGTGACTCATTAAGATCAGCTTCATCTATATCGTCGCGATTAACTGTAACTCTTGTGATTTTATATACAATATGCACTATGCAATTGTTGCTTTGTGACTCTGTTTAATTTCTCAACACAAATCATTTAATACAGCAAAGACTTTACTTGGAAATTTAGAAAAAAGTGTTCCAAAATATTATTTTAATAGTTAAAATCTGTTTTTCATATTTTGTCAAGACAGACAATTTCGAATTGTTACAATTTGTTCGCAATGCCTATCCATAATTTTGTTGATATGACATTCGAAAACATATATATACATATTAGTGTGTATAGAACGCGTGCAAACATTTAATTTGAAAGGCACATTTAGATAAATGCATGATGTGTGGGACTCTAATTCTTATGGTTGTTGGCATGAGGGAACACTTGGATGTCAGAGCGATGTTCCACAGTCGATCAAAGGGACAATCGATAAAACCATCGAGAGGAAACATTGAATAAGGGGAATTGGACAGAATTCGAATAGAAACTTTTGACTAGCACTTTGTTCAAGGCTCATAAAAAAAGACGCTCGGGGTCCAGGGTCGGACGGAGCCCACCAGCATTTCCGGATGGACATGCGCCATCTTAGTGTCGGGGCTACCAGGCTCATCGCCTGGGAACTCGTGACCCACCGCTTGAGCGCGCAAAATAATTTGATGCCGCTTGGTCACATCCACATTGGCCACGACGCCCGACTCGTGACGATAGCTATAAAAACGATTTGTCAAATGGCCATCCACATATATCTGATCGATTAGACAACAGCAACAGATTATTAAAGCAATCGGAGATGAATATAGAATCACTCACTTCGTAGCCACCAATGCCAGCACAGTCCTCCAATTCCCATCGGACATAGAGCGCACGACAGCCCAAACTGGAAACACTCGTAATGCTCACCGGAAAACTGTCACCCGGTGCATTGCCCATACACGGAGATGGTTGAGCGTTCTATAAGCGTCCACAAAAGTATTATAGAAATATGTATATATAAATGTACATGTGACATTATTTACCTTGGGGTTTATTTTATTCTTGGTCAACACATGATGCATGGCATGCAAGTCATAGATAATGGAGTCAATGAAAAATTTCTGCAAGAATCGAAAAAAATAAATGTTAAGAATAACTATATAGAGCTAGCGACATTTCACGTAATCGTCAAGTTGCGAAGCCGGTGTAGCAATCCGGTGTGCTCATGTCAAATGTACTCACCGTTTCAGCAACGGGATCACACGGAACTGCATCCAATATTTTAGAAACAGTCTGACACTGATTATCGCAGATGACCGCTCGACAATGACAGCACACGCAGGGGTCTCTTGGTCCATCGATGCACTCTGTGAGCTCCTCGTCCAGCCCTTGATCGTCTTCACACAATTCGCACATGCGCCGCATCATATATTCGCATAGCAGGCGCTCTCTTTCCGTAAGCGGACTCAATGCATCATCGAAATCAGTCTCGCCTAAGCAGGATGCTTTTTCCATGGCACCAGAATCTGCGGTAAGCTCTTTCGTTGATTCACATGGAAGACCTACACACTCTCCTTGGATCTTTAGTGGTGGTTCTTCCGGACAGTCACAGTCCACTTGTCTTATCAACAATGGTTCTTGAGGACAAACACACTCCCCTCGGTCTTCTCTTGATTGTTCTTCCTTACAGACACACTCTCCTCCATGGTTTTTTAGTGGTTGTTCTTTCGGACAGTCACACTCTACTTGTCCATCTAATAATGGTTCTTCATGACAGACACAGTCTCCTTGATCTTTCATTGATTGTTCTTCCTTACAGACACACTCTTCTTGGCCTTTTAATGATTGTTCTTCCTTGCAGATCAAATCTACTGGTTCTTTTACTAATTCTTCATCTGGACACACGCAATCTCCTTGTTCTTCTTCAGGACATACACACTCTCCGATGACTTCTTCAGGACACGCGCACTCTTGTTCTTCTTCAGGACATACACACTCACCTTGCTCTTCTTCAGGGCATACACGCTCTGCATATTCTTCAGGACACACATACTCTTCTTCAGGAAGGACACCCTCTTCAAATGGTTCTATTTTTAGTGATTCTTCATGAGGAATCAATTTTGATGACTCTTCTCCATAACTTATATAACTGCTCAGCTCTTCTTGGACTGGAAATAATGGACTATACTCTTCGAGAGCAATTTCCTGATCTGTTTGCTCTTCCGGTAACTTTGAAAGGACTTCTTCCTCTATCGGTATCGATATTGAAACGGATTTCCTATCACTTGTTGTTGTTGTTGTTGTTTTGCAACTACATGTTCCGAAATTGGAAATTTTGGTCTCCTCTGATTTGCAATCGCACTCTTTGTCACTTGATGGCTCAGGGGTTATGTAAGAAGTTCCGGTAACACAGGTACACACTGGAGACCTCGAGCTGGATTCAGTGTCCATTAAACAGGGCATGGGACATGGATCAAAAGTTGGATCATGTTGTAATACGACAATTTCCTTCAGTTCCTTAGGCATACATTTATTTTTATCGGGAAAACATTTTTCCACATATTTTTCCATTTGTTCCAGGCACTGCATACGCTCTACTTTATCCTTTGACCTGGGCGACTTACATGGGGGTATTCTGCCAGCAGTTACGGCCGCCATGCATTCTTCATAGCACCAAGACTTATCATCCTGAAGCTCGTCTTCCTCCTGTCGCAGCATCTGGGTTAATTCACGAAACAGTTGCTTTATAACAGCTTTGCGTTCCAGTCGACAATCGTTCACATCGTTCAATAAGTTTATTATATTTACTACATGATCATTTGATAGACCAGGACAGCATTTTTCAGATATACAGCTTCTGTAATTAGATATCTTTTCTGATGGGCACTCACAATACACATCTGGATATTGTTCACAGGGAGAAGTCCAGGTCTGTTCTTCTGATGCGCACTCACAGAACACATCTTGTCGCACCTGGCTTGGTTGTTGTGTACAGGGAGCAGTCCATCTAGTTTGAAATGATGCGCACTCAGAAGCGATTTTATTCTTCATCTGATTCAGTTGTTGTACACATGAAACACTTCGCGTCTGTTCTTCTGATACGCACTCACAAAATAAATCTTGTTGAATCAGATTCGGTTGTTTGCAAGGAGGCGCGGACCAGCCCTGATCTTGGGATATACATTCATAACAAATGTTGTAATCTTGTTGCATATCTAGTCCTTGGCGACAAGGAGGTTCCTGTTGCTGCTGTTGACTGCGTTCTTTCTGCTTCTGACTACATACGGTAAACCGTGAAGTCTGCAGCTTTCCACAGGATATTGACCTGAATGGTGTGCAAATCTTCTTTGTATCCTTGCCATGCTCCGAGGTGGTTATACAAGATTTTGAATCCTTAGCTTCGGCTAGATTGTTATGGGAACAGATTTTTGATCTGGCACTTAAGATCTTCGACATAGATGGACCCAAACACTTTAAGCAAACTGATGTTGATTGGGCTTTTGATCCGGCTATCCCATCCCCACTTTGTTGTGTTTTGTGGCCACAAGACGGAATGGTTTTAAAGTCCGACGCAGCTTGGCTCTTCCTAGCACAAAAGCATAGGGAAATTTCTGATGAAGAATAACAATCACTAAACTGTTCATTGCGATTCTGAAACACAACATCTGCACTCTGCGATACACTGCAGCTGGGAACGACTTTCGTATCCTCAATTCTTTTAAAGGGTGGGCCTTCTCGGCCTGGACATAGCTGCATCTTATCAATGGAGGAGCACAAGCACGTTACGTTGGCCATGAAAGACTGCGAACGGGACGAGGTCTTGTCCGTGTAGCCCATCGAAGATTTATGATAAGAGGGTGCTACATTTTCGTAAATTCTTGCATTGTCTTCTTTGTCTTGGCAAAGCTTACTACCCTTAATAGATGTCGTTATGTAACTGGTGTCTGCATTATAATACCGGTCACTTTGCATGCTCCTATTAATCATTTCAGACGGTAGCACATTTGAATACGTCGGATCTATCTCCAAATAGTCCTCATTTTTTATATATTGACTGTGAGCTTTAGGTGGTGGACACGGCTTTTTATCACCACGTTTCTCACCTTTTGTAGACATTTTATCAACTATGCTATCTGCGATACATTCCGATGGGGGCGGGCTTTGCCAATTTGCTACTGCGCTTGGTACATTGCAATTAGCAACCAGATCAAAGCTTTTACCGTAAGTAATTATAGTATTGACGGAGCCTGTTGGTATACCCATAGGGTTTGACTCGCAAGGGCAGCTTTGATCATCAGTAAGATCACAGAAGCCCGTTACTTGGTTACTGGTGCCCGATTTAAAACTGTTATAGCCACTGATTGCCTTCTCGCGGTTATCACCTGTTCGAGAACTTCTTTGTTGCGAGCTTCGTGGTACACCCAAAAGGTTTGACTCGCCAGGGCAGTTTTGATCATCGTTTAGATCAAAGAAACCGTTTAATTGATTATCAACCAGATTACTAGTGCCCGATTTAAAGCTGTTATAGCCAGTGATTTCCTTCTCGCGTTTACCAGCTGCCTGATAAAAGCTTTGTTGCGCGCTTTGAAAAGTTGACGCATTATCAAGTTGATTAAAGTCGCATGGCGTTTTGCTTTGCTCAGTTTTCATGTCATTGATGTCCATTCTTTTGGATGGACGAGTAGTGGCAAGGTCATCGGGTTTTGGCATTTTATTTAAGTTACAGTCCGAGCTCACGGAGTGGTACCGAATAGGAGCGTTTTGTGAATCAGGAGCATAAGACAGTTGTTCACCAACTCGTCCAATTGAACTTAGTTTATCCATGTCCAACTTTTCGACTTTGCTTGATCTCTGCGATGCAACTGTTGGAGATTTCGAGGGCTCAATACTCACTCTTTCAGGTGCGGGTTGAGCCACACTTGTTGCGAGGCAAAAATTGTCTGCCCCGATATGTGCATCGCCAGTATTAGTAGGTAAAATTGAACGGTTTGGGTCTAGGCAGTTGCAGCTTTGAGGGTCTTTGAAATCGACAGAGTTGAATTCGTCAGCAGAAAATGTAGCGCCAGGCTTAGGGATATCAGTCGGGTTACCTTCAGCCTTCGTATTGACATCCATGGCGTGGCAACTCGTTACTGGACAGTCGGATTCGACTTTTGATAGCAATAGCGATTGCAGATCCGCAGAGGGAGGAGGTGGACATAAGCATGGTAAGTGGCATACAGATTTTGAAATAGCGCTACAGTATCGTAGAGCATTATCTTTAGTTGCATTCTTACAGGAGGGGGGCTCTATGGCGGATACAAAACTTGGTTGTGATTTGGACAGACCACATTTATCTGTTTGCTGGTATTGTGGGCGAGACTCAGGCAGGAGTATTTGCCTCCAATTAGAGGATTTATCGCGAGTGGAACTTGCGCTGTCACGTTGATTTGGTTCGTCCTTACACTCACATTCATCATTCTCATCTATAATTCTGCATATGTATTGTTGTGTGGGGTAAATAATTTGATCCATGGCATTGAAATCATTCTGCAAATTCTTATTCAAGTCATTCGTCTGCGATGGCCGGTCCTGAAGAAAATTGCTACAGTGTGAATGCATATAGTGGTTATAAAGATAAGATGCATTTGTCTGAGATGGTTTGTTCGCCACAGCGGCACAAGGATTCAATTTCGGCAGTCGAGAATTTAAGGTTGGTGCATCCTCTGCATTTTCTAGCGGACTGGGCATATCGTAACAGGTGCATTGCCATTGGTTAGTAGCCCTTTGAGATTTAGTTTTCATATAGGATTGGTCGGTTTGAATTTGTTGGTTGTGGCAACTTCCGGGATCGCGGTGCTCATCCTGCATATACATCAGAGCTGGGCAGTCTGCAAGATTCATAATAGAGAAAAGAGTCTATTAGATGGCTGTTGGACATGATTTGCACATTTTATTTTGATGGGAAAGAACATTAAATTTAAAAATTAGGAAGCCATGGAACAAGGAACTGATTTATTAAGCGACAAAGCAGGGTAGGGTTGAGGGGGTATGTGTTTTAAAGACGGGATTGCGGCGGTATCTTAAGCTCCTGGATCTCTGTGAGCTGAACCTCGCGACCGCGTGTTATATTTGGAGAAGACCACATTTCACAATTGTACAATTCAAGAAACTTGGCCTCAGCCTTCTCCCGGCAAGGACAAAAATCAAAATAAGACGTCTGACTGCAGGTCTCGCGCTCATCAAAGTTCGTGAAGATGGTTCCACGCTGTACGCAGCGGCAGACCTTCACATTAACGCGTTCACGATTTTCATCTAAGGAACGTCGTTTCCATGGACACTGGCAGCATCCACAATTCCCTGGGCAAAACACATTGCCATCTTCGTCCATAAGGGGGCTGGGTTCAAAGCGGCAAGGTGAACAATTCGAGAACTCCTTATGCTGTGGTAACGCCAGAAAATATTTTTTAACTTCGCCCTCGGTTTTCGAAGGTTCTGGCGACTCCTCGAGCAGCGGTGTTACAGACCCTCGGTAAATCGATTCATCTGCTTTCTTCAATGGCTGCTCTGGTTCTGGAATTGGCTCGGGGGGAAGAACCGGCGGTGGCACGTATGACAGCGGTTCGACTGGCGGTGGTACGTCTGGCGGTGGTACTTCTGGCGGTGGTACGTCTGGCGGCGGTACGTCGACCGGCGGCGGTACTACTATAGGCACTGGTATGATCTGTCGAACTGGCTCTACTTTGGAACTTGGCACTGGCTCTGGAGGGGGTGCAGGTATTGGGACGGGTACTGGCACGAGGGGTGTTTGGTATGCAGGGCAACTGTAGTCTTTCGCAAAAGAACAGGAGCCCTTAATCAAAATGTTATCTTCAACATCTGATGCCTCTCTAAGGTTGACAAATGGTTGTTGGCAGGGATCCCTACCTTTGGACGTATACTTCGAACACACTGATGTTCCTGATTTGGCAACTGGCCGTGATGGACCAGTTGTAATCATTTGGCCCGAACACGGATCGAATTTTAATGGCATTTGCACTGTAACTGGCCTGCCCTGGAGACATTTTGGGGTGCTTTCCTTGGGATCGGTTAATAAACGTGCCGTTATCTCCAGAGTTGCATTGCAGTGACATTTACTATCGCCGCGATTCCTCTCAAAATGTCTAAGCAGCATTTGGGTCGCATTCTCAGCACGTATGAGGACAGCGCGTACAACTTCCGGATCATCATATTTGCTAGTGTTGGATGCCTGGCCACTGCATGTGGATTTACAGCTTATATTTATCGGATTAGTAAAGATGGGCTTGGCATTGGTTTGGTTGGACGGTTGCGATGTAAGGTTATCAAAGTTTTTGCCTTTGTGACCCTCTCGAGGAATATCCGTGTCGCTTGTGCTCAAACAATCAAAAAATATATCCTCGTCGCTGCGATGCGCCTGAAAATTGGGTCCACGATAAAGGACTTGGGTGGAGGGATTGATATTCTGCTGCCGCAGACTACGCAAATGGATGCAGGTATCTGGCCTTTTACATCGTCGAGCAGGACCTGATGCTTTCTTATCAGCAGTTGTTTTATTTCTGTCCTTGTCCATGGCTAAATGGACCAAAGCATCAAATGTATTCCAACTAATTTATGAATTTACATAAAATTTGTTATACGATGTTGCTCCTTGAAATAATTAAAATTAACTGACCACAAATTAAATTGTCAGGCTCAGCAACAAAAACGCTGCCTACTACTCAATTTTATTTGTTCTCTTCTATTTTCTTTATTGTATTCAAAGTACAATAAAAATCATTTCAAATATGAACGAAGTACCATTGGATAAGTAATTCAAAACGTTCACATAACTTATTTGCAGACAATTACATATCTCCGTTAACCAGAAGCTTCGGCTTTCGTAGCTTCTGTGAACATCTCGACACGCACTTGTACCTCAGAGACAGCTGAAGCTCGCAAGCGAGAGGATGTGCACATAGTTGTAATCTGCTGCTCCTTTGATCGGATTTCCTATACTTCCCAGCGAACTTTCCGCGCCGCTTTCCGGGCGCTGCCGCTACGGTAACACGGCCGCCGTATACTATTTTGAGCTAGACCATAAGATCGCCTATCACCAGCGCCCATAGCAATGCATTCGGCGGCAGTAGCCAATGTGGCGGGTGCCGGCTGAAATATGTTGACCTTGACCTGACCGCTTTGCGGATTCAACTCAATGGGGAGATTTAATGTGACCGGACTGCCGCGTAGTATGCACTGGCTTTGGGGTGGACAGCCACATGTTGATTCCGCGTGAACTCGTGCGGTTATCGCTAACGTCGCCGGATAAAAGAACTTGCATGAAGCTTGCGGCTCCTCTGCCTCAATGCATTCGCAGCTAACGCCTAGACCTCGCAATAATATTTGTGCATTATGAGCAGCACTTCTTAGTATATTCCGCATATCCATAGGTTTCTTGCATTTCTGAGGCTCGTCCTGCAAAACATCGCCATGACAAGTTTTCAATACGCCCTCGTGGACTTTATTAACAGTCTCGGGTTCATATTCACCCTCGCTGCGACAATCGTAGAAGATGTCATCCATGGTTTTTAAATCTTTACCTTTTTTTTGCATTATTTTTTTTTATTGTCTTATTTATACATACACACAGAATTTCGATAATACTATGATAATATATGGGGTTTTGAAGTGTAATCCAAGGTTTTGTACAAAAAACTAACTGAACGATTAAGATCAAAAAGAAAAAACGCGCACCGCCAGCTAAACTTAGGTAAAGCTGGGGATAGGTCCGATGAATTTAATAATCACATCTCCTCGCCAAATTTCAAGGTATTGTGCCGTTCCACCGGATAGTAGATAGTGCAATAGAACTCCGACTCCACTTTGTGATAGTGAAAATCGATCAAACGCTCATTGATGCGCTGCTCTAGCTGCTGCAGCAATTGCGAATTACCAGGCTTCAGAGCAAATTTCAGGGCACGCACGCAGCCCAACACTGCCACAAATACATCGTAACTCTCAGAGAGATTGGGTGATTGAGTCTGTTCAGTGCACAGATTCTGCAAAAGCTCAATGTGCTCTCGGAACTCTTCGCTGCCCTCCCACAGCTGCAACACACGTGCCCTGAACAGATCGCTCTCATTCTCACACTTAATGCTTTCCTGCAGCAGCCGCAGGAATGCACGCGTTCTACCCGGCAGCAGCAGGAGACGCGCTTCCACGCCAGCATTGTCAGCCTGTACGCCACAGTCCTGGGTGCTACTGCCATCCGTCTGCAACTGTTCGTCGCACATTTGAGGCGTCGCCTGTACTAGTTCACTGTGCCAGCAGATGGGTTCTGTTTGGGCATAACCATCGAATAGTGCCCGATCCCACTCTGGATCGACTATCTTCACGTACTGTGCTCGCGTCAGGTTCCCTGAGTCGCTCGAGTGTGCCGTATGCACAGAGGTGACCGAATGGAAACTGGACAGGGAACAGGTCTTGGGGAGTTTGCCATTAATTGGACGACAGGAGGCGCCAGTGCGTCGCACGCGACTGCGGAAAAGGTAACAACTTATGAAGCGTTTGCACTGCTTTCGCTTGTGAAGCAGATTCTTTCGCTGCGGTTCCTTGACTAATTTCCGCTTCTTCGTGGGCACTTCACTGATTTCTTTGATTTGCTTCAGCGGCTTGGCAATGTGGGATATTCTACGACGGTCCTTAACAGTCAAGCCGCCTCCACTCGTGCGTTGCGCGCTGCTTCTACTGCCCTCACTGCCCCTACTGGGCCTACTGCCTTTACTGCTCTTACTGCCCTTACTGCTCCGCGGTGCCTCCTCTTCCAGAGCGTCTGTGATATCTTCTGTCTTAGCACTGTCTAATTTCACGACTTTTTCTTTAGTTTCAATACCCTTAACTTCAAAGCTTCGACATACGATGGGCGGACGTTCTTCACTGGGCTCACATTCACAATCACTCACCGATGGCTTCTGAGCATGAAGTATGGTATCCGCCAGCTGCTTCACACTGCAAGCTATGGTCTGGAAGTCCTTGTGCGTGGGTAGCTCACGCTCCCGCCTCTGCAGGGAAATGAGAGGAAAGGAGCAAATCAGATACCAAATCAATATCAATTTTCATTTCGCCTGATCGACGTTCAGTTAACCCTCAAACTTTAGAAAATTTTACTGGCTATAAATTTTTGAATACATCATATACCAAATATATATATTTTTGCATTCGAATAAAGCCTCGCGTACTTAAATTCTAAAAAACAATCAAAAAAAAATATTTTACTTTTGATTTAAATGAATCACATAATAGAAAATAAAGCCATCAATCGGAATCGGAATGTTTTCAAAGCACCCTTTTTAGTTTATATGATCGAAAAGTGCACAGTATTAAAAGAGAAAGAAACCCACCTCCAAATCCCTTAGAGCACAGCCAAGACCTTGGCTTGCCGTCTCCAGATTATCGATTTCCTCTCGCTTGATACGCTTCTCGGGACTGTCGTAGAGTTCTTGGGCTAGGCTAAAGCCTTCGGGGCAAACCCCAAGCTTCTTTTCCAACCGCTGGACCAGCTCATCCTTGGTACGCAGCTCGTCCTCCAGACAGCAGGCGTGCTCCCCGCATGCCTTCAGCTGCTTTTCCATTTCGGCAATTTTGGTTTCAAGCGTATTCACCTCTTCCTTGAGCTCACCATTGGTCACCTCGGTGTTCATGAAATCCTTCTTTAAGTCGTAGATCTGCTGACGCAGGCAATCTGTTTCCGCTTTCAGCTGCTCCTCCATGCTCTGCTGCAACTTCTTGGTAAAGTTTAGATCTTCGGTCAGCGTTTGATTACGTCGTCTCTCGCTCTCCAGTTCAGTGGCCAGCGGCTGCTGCTTCTGCTCATCTGCGGCACGACTCTCAACTTCCTTAGCCAACGCAACTTTCTGTTCCATTAAATCACGATGCTCCTTGGTTAGGCGAACCAAGCACAGCTTCAGTCTGTGCTCCGATTCCTCCAGCTGTTGTATTTTCTCAGCAGCAGCACGCGAATCATCGCGCAAACAATCTTGCAGTTGGTTGATCTTTTGCTTCAAGCACAACTCTTTGGTACGGTAAGCCTGCTCTTTCGCTTTGTATTCGCGCTCTAGTTCGACCCAGTGCGAATCGGCGGTCTCCATGGCATCATAGTGTTGCGTATTAAGTTCCTTGAGGGAACTACGCAAAGTCTTGATCTCTTCCTTAAGATAGCTAATCTCACGTGCAGCATTTTCATCAAACGGGACATTCGGCCCTTTATTGCTGTCCTTACAGCTCTGTTTAATGATCTGCTTAGCTTCGTCGGAGCAGCAGGGCCGGCAGTTCGATTTGCAGGCGCCCGTCGCCCCAGCATGTGCCCGTCGTGGCAAAGACTCCTCATTGCCCATGTTACTGCTGGTGCTGCGGTTGCCACCAGCGCTGATCCTAGCCAGCTGCAGCAGTCGGCAAATGAGCAGCAAAGGCAGGGAACGGTATAAACTCTCCAGCTGCTGCTTGACACGCTGTCGCTCCGCCTGCAAATGCTCTAGCTGCCTTTCAGCTGCACAGAGATCGTCCCGCAATATTAGGCACTCGGCACGGCAGTCCCGGTATTTGGCGGCCAGTGCGTCCTTGCCAAATTCGAGCTCCACGTTACGTTGTCGCAGTATTTCCAGCTCCTCCTCGTTGCGTTGTAAATGGAAGCGTGTGTCGTTCTCAGCTTCCTCGAATTCACACTTGGCCTCGTCCAGTAGAGCGTTCTGTTCGACAAGCAGTTCGACACGTTCACTCAGCTCCTTCACCTGCTTATTCAGCTGCAACTCACGCTGCAGACGCTCGGCCAAATGCTTGGCTTGAGTCTCGCCGCTGCTTTCGTAAACGAGCAGCTTGCTCTCCAGCTGTATGAGACGCTCTTGATAGTATTGCAGGTGAGGATGTTCCGCTATTGATGTTGTTGTCGAGAGATCGCATTCGACAAAGACGCCGCTCTCGGTGAGGCTGCTATTTTGCAGTCTCTGCAATTGCTTACTGGGTGTTGTTGGTGCAGTGGGCGTGGCACTATTGCTATACGGCTGAACGGTGGCTACAATGCGACTGTGCCTGGACCGAGGTTCCGCTTTCGTCTGAAAAAAACAAGCCAGACGCAGCACTTGAATTTATGTTTATGTTATATATGTACATATATATAAGAACTGATTTATTAAAGGCTAAAAAACTGTTTTGCCTCTGCTACAGGTAAAATGTAATCTGGTCGCTTACAAAATTTTTTTTCTAACTACTGATCGACTTCTGACAACTTGTGAACAAATACACTTTATATTATATTTACATATATAGTTTGTTTATAATATACACACCGTTGCCTGCCAAGTGTCCGGCTCCACGATCGCCTCCAGATCGAGCTGCTGCACGCACAGCAGCAACTGTTGCAAGCAACGTTTGTCCTTCTCCTCCAATTGATGTGAAGTCTTGCGCAACAGATTTTCCAAGCGCAGACAATGATCCGCACATGTTCCATCCATCTGATGTGGAATAATAGAATAAAATCATGTCTTTAATTACAACTTGAAACTTAAGCGATTTCTAATTGAAGAGCAAAAGACCACAGTCCTAACACAATTATCATAATAATATCAATAATGATACTGATTAATTCTCAAATAATGGTCAGGATAATGCTAATAATATTATTCACATTTTATTATATTATAATGGGAACATCAACAATAATCATAGTCTATGAATTACTGTTGCTCCTCCTGAGCTGCTCTGATCTGAGTATAGGTGAAAGATTGCCAATCCAATTGGGTTACAATATATTTTGATTTTCTGTTGAGGTGAGTCATGCGGACAAAATACTTCAACAGGAGCGCCGCTCATGAGCTTGGGCATGAGTGAACACCTGGATATCTTGTTTATATACACACAATTGAATTGTTTATGCAGCTGCAGATTGCCTATCGAACACACAAACAAATGCTCTGCTTATATAATCACTTAAGAGCTTTTCAAGCAACAAGAATATAAGTGCAAATAGTTTAACTATTGAAATTTGAAACAGTTGCAAAATGTCTTAAAAATGTATATATTTTTAATACATTTTACAAAAGTAAACGGTTTTAAATTGTTTTTTATTTTTTTATACACTTTTTAAACTTTCTTATTTAGTTTATTTAATTTATTTTGTTTTTATTTAATTTTTATTTATTTATTTTTGGGTTTTATCAATTTTGCTTTTTATTTTATAATATAATATATTTAAAAATGTTGCTTATTAATTTTAAGCAATTTGTTAGGCACTTCTCTTGCAAACTTTGAATACAGGTGAAACTTACACGAGCTCGCAGCAAACTCTGTAAAACTGTTTTAATTGTAATGTGAGCAACTGCCTTGATTAGCATTCGCTTGATGCACCACTGATTAACAAAGCTTCATAAGTTATTTTCACTTTGCAGACAAGCCTATTCACTGAACTAAGTATACAAACAGTATGTATACTTATATTTATATATGTACCTATATATAAGGAGTAATTAGTTTTGCTTATTGCAATTAAGCAAACGAATTAGATTTTCAAGCTGAACGACTTCGCAGCTTTGGCGTTCGGCTCTAAAAATTTAAAGAAACGAAAAAAGGTGTGTAACAAAG